TCTAGGCTCTCACTGGGCCGGTGCGGACTTCCGCCAAAACGCACCCGCCGATCAGCACCTACAAGTGTGTGGTCAGTGTCTACACATCTGCTTCAAATCCAGCGACAGTTTTAGTCACAACTCCTCCAGCGGTAATTAACCGCTATGTGATCTTTGCGTCCATGGCTGGTCCGAGGCTGGTGGGCACCAAGTCATCCGTCTACGGGTGCTGTGTCGCAAGTTAATGCTTGTGCAAAAGAACGAGCTTCTTCACACATGTACAGCAACCGCTCACCGTTATCATTACGAGTGCCTACACCATGTTGGCAACCGAGATGAAGCTCATCGGAGGACAATTTTTATATTTGGGCCTTCATATGACAAGCAAACACCACAGTGGCCGTACTTTTTCTATAACGAAGGAGCGCTTTCGGTTGGTAGTACAAGTCATCTTTCACCGATTCAGCGCTACAATTTGTTGGAGCATAGCTCGCAATTCCAAACATCGTTTGTCCCTGCTCGACCTCGAAGCTTTGAACTAGCCAGTCAATCTGACAGCGCATATCCAGCTGTTCATCGGGATCCAACCCTATCAAGGCAGATTCATCTCGATGGTTAACAGAGCTGCGCACACCGACTGGATCGGCATTTGAAGCTGCGTCCTCTCCAGGTAAGCACATTGAGAATATACCGCTAGTGTCGCATGCAGAAGATCACAGGCTAATCACGTTAAACTCGAATCTTGCAGGCGAGTTTATGAAAACAGCAGTTTGTCGATCGATAACTGTTCTGGCAAGTGCTTCCTGTTGGCTAATCTGCAACAAATTGCGCGCATTGTGTCATGTCTTTCTCAGGGAGGATCGAGGGCTCCGAATAGAAACAGATGTACTGACGTTTGTTTGGTTGGACATTTACTGGTCGACTAGACCGGATCGACGCCCTGCGATAGCGTGTGAGTTGAAACTAGAAGGTAAAGGCCTATCAACGTAAGATGAGGGAAGGCCAAGAATTAGGGCGTTGAAAACAGCTGGGATGAATTTGGAGTTTGAACGGGACGATAAGGATGAAAATGCGCGAGAGGGAAGAGAATGGGAACCCCTGAACAGTAGTATCCTAATCCCTATCCATCCTGCTCGAAGCAGCATATAAGGCACCATTGATTCTCCTCTGCGACAGACGGAGTATCAATAAATCGTTAGAAGAAAAATTTATTTTATTACCTGGGCAGGACGCTGTCAATTTGCCCAGAATTACATAGAAGAGCGATTACAGTTCCCAACTCAAGTGTTTGATTCAAAAACTGGACTTCAAGGCTACAGTTAGTCCGTTTTATGGACTGAGGAATCACCTTCACTCCAACCTCCAAAAGAGTTTGTTTAGCCCCTAACCATTGGCCAGTTTAGTACGAGTAACTGATGATGCAACGGCACCGGCCAGCATTGCCCAACCACACTGAGGTCCATTCTGGTCGCTGTGGCAGTACAGCTTACTGGACCTTTGCTCGCCTCTCCTTCATTTACTCTCTTTCTGATTATTAGTATCGGTGTGTTCCTAGGTTTTATTTCGTCTCTATGCATCGAAATTTGTTGGCTGGTTTATTTCTTGAGTTTCGCCACGCTCCCACTGTCTTGTGTTTAGGCTTTTCTATCAATCACCAGTGTTTCGCCACCGCGAAACTGTTTTCTGGTTCTCTATAACCACACTACTTGCACCAAATCTCATCATACATTATCCGCCATCCTATTCGCCGCACACAGTAGCTTCAGAATGTGTATACTCGCAGATTACAAGTGAAGTGATCTTTCAGAATTGCTGTGGTGTGGCGAAGCAGCCTTACTAAGTGTTTGTATGCTGTTTCTGCTGGTTACGTGGATGAAACAATGTTTATACTATGGGCACTCCATCTTGGGTAAATAACAAATATTAAACGGTATAAACCTAAACGTTGCGCAGCATGTGTGGTCGGACAATATGTGTAGCGGTTTACTCTTGTAAACCTGAGGAAGGAAAACGGCGGAAAAAGCACTTTACGGGCAATAAACAAAATCAATACTTCGCTTAATTCAATTATCGACATATGGATTACATTGAATTTGTTGCGTCCTGAATCATGAACAATACGAGTCTAAGTAGCAATGCTTCGTGTTCTTATACCCATACCTCAAGAATACACAGAAGCAGGTTACCAAGTGGACATACTAGTGTTTAGTCATTAGTTGTGAATGAAGTCATATTTGATGCCGACTTCACAATGAGTGTAATGAGCCTCTCTTCAAATTACTCCCGAATGAGCCCACCCTCTCCATCCTTTTGATTTCGCTTCTTTTTGTTTGCCTAGTTTGGCGCATATCTCGTTCCCTCTGTGTTCACTGAAACCGATTCATAGACTACACGTGTTGCTCACCTTCAGCTAATGCGCCATGATGATGATGTGGTGATTAAACTTGTATTCTTCCTATGATTTCCATGGTTTTGTTTGGATTTGTGTCTCTTCTTTGACGGTTGCCGATATATACCTACCACGCATCTTACACATATGGTGCACTTGTTACGCCAGTCATTTGATTTTCGTGATGTTAGGCTTTACCAATTGCCTGAGTGTCTAATGAAATCGCTACACTGTCCCTGGAATAACAGTGAACACCATCCTAAGTGCTTAGTCGATCTAGAGTGGCATGATTTTCATCTCAAATGTGTCTTTTCGTCGCAGCCTCCTCATGTTACCACTGCTTTCTCACTTCAGACTCATCCCATGGAGGTGGAGGAGAATTCGTTTTTTATAACCGAAAGGGCCTCACCCACGGCTTCCCCATCTGCTCTTGGCCCGGACCGCGTCATCTCTATGTTTTTACCTACTGAACCGCCTACTGATATCGGGGAAATGGTTACATGCAATCTTTGTCTAGTATGTTACACAGTTTGCTGTTTTTATTGACGCGATTCGTTTATATTCCGAAATTTATTTCGGTCATTAGTACCTTCGTTTGCGCTGCGTCGCTTATTGTCATCCGATCCTCAACAATTTCATCTGACGCGTAACTGATTTAATTTGTTGAATTCTTGCCCTTCATACCCTTTTTACAGGCATTTCTATCTTGTTTCTAACAGGAAGATGTCCCTGCAACACCACAGAGTCGCATGGTCTTTACGGCTCATGTTTGTCGCTCTTCGGTTATATCTTCCCGAGCTTCTAGTTGGTGTGAAGGTTCTCGCGCAATATCCATGATTAAACAGTTATTGGATCTCAGCCCGAATATGCATGGTGTGCGTTCGGACGATGAGCCGCCTCAGCCATCAGATGCAGCAACTGCAGATTCTATGCGTGATTTTCAAGTCAGTCTTCCTCCCTTGTTTCTTTTGATTTCCCCTGTTTGTTCCAAGCACCCGGTGCTGTGCTAGCTTGTGTATGCCTAGATGAGCAGGTGTTTACTTTGCAGACTTGGGGTGGGGTTCATACAGACACTTTGTCCGATGCTTGTCGGCACCCCATTCGCTTGACCACGTTGCGCGGCCGTAGTTTTAAGGCTTTGAACCTCAGGTTTCTTGCATTGGAAACTGTTCCTTTTTGTTTTGGATCGGCCATCTTGCTGGTGCTCTTCGCTACTGACAATCACTATATTGTCCTACTTGTTCGCTGCTTTGAGCTAGGGCTTCCCAGACTAATTGCACGGCGCGTACTGGGGACAACATCTGTTTGTTACTCGCCTATGCGCAGCTCCTCACTAATATTTTTTGCGGTTTTACCTAGCATATGGAATATCGTTAGTGGTTTGACATATGGGTTCTGTTGCTCACTTTTCCCCTTTAGTACAAAGGACACTAATCGGTGCACAGCGTAATGATCCACAATTGCTCCATGTCCACTATGGTCTACGTCGCCTCGTACCCCTTGATGTAGATGTAATTACATTTGTTGCCTGTTTAACTGAAATGTCATTTTCCACCCCGCTCATGCCTTAACTAGTGTGCCTCGTTCTATCGAGAATATACAATTCATTTATTTATTTATCGATATGACCCAGTCACGTCGCATTTCACATTAGCTTACTTCAAGAATGATGTTCATCTTTTTCCAGTTGAATGAGTTTTTGGCCGCGCTTTCTACTACTGCTGCGGCATCATCTCCATCTTCCCTACAAACTGGCTTTTACCCCCTACCTGAATTGTCGAAATCAAACCAGAATTTGAAAGATGAGGCTGAATCTACCGCTCACTGTCCATATCCGTTTTATGGTATGCTCGAGTGGCGATGTCAGTTTGAAGGTAAGACAGTCCTTTTTGAAAACTTGTCAGTTTGACAGCCACAAACGTGACTTTCGTTGCTTATGTCGGTTGACATTAGCAAACGCCCTCTAAAACCAAAACTCTTTCCACTACACACAAAACACCATATGTTTGAAGTCATTAGTAATGCTTACTGCGTAATCGCATATTACAGTCAGTCTCAGAAGTATATTACAGGTTTATTTCCTCCTATCTTTGACGGGAGCTGTTCAGTTCGATTAATCAACCGCTGCCAAATCATTAATTGTACTTCTGCGGAAGGGGCAAGGCTGTCATAGTCTGAAACGTGGTAGCAAGTTCAATAATCCTGTTGATTTCGGGATCTAGCTATGTGCGACGAGGTATCCAGTCGCTGCAGTGACTGCTCCCGAGGACCGAGGAACACGACAAGCACCAACCTTATCTGTCTCCAGTGAGTTCTTCCATGCCTTTTGCAATGCTAGTGCTGAGATTCTTTTGGGTCTCATCCAACTAGATGTAACATTGGTGAACCATGCATGTCAACGCGACCATCTTTCAAGCATGCGGGGCACGTAACCTAGCCAGCTGGGACAATATGAATTGAACAGTCAACTTGATGAGGCGCCGCATGGTTCCTTTTCGATCGCCGGATAACGAACTTCAATATTACATCATCAGTAGTATTGACGGATTGAGCAATGCTTCACAGACGTTGGTGGTCAAACACGGTCAGTGTTTCAATGCTCTCAATGCGCATTGACCAGGTTTCTGACTTTTACAGCTACACTGACCGCACCACAGTGTTGCACCCTTCCATGAACTTAAATGCCTACTTCTCGACTTCTCGCAAGTCAATGAAACTAGTTCTCCTTTCTACTAGAGACTGTTCTCACGGATGTTTAGAGCAAAGTGCACAATTATTGTGCTCATTCGCTAACACATTATGCAGGATGTGACCACGAATTAAAGCATAGGGTTTGTTTCCGTCTGTTGTTTCTTTCCAACCCGATTGTGTGGAATTTCCGTTGTCTTGGTTACGTTACCTAGATGTGGGAAATGCCTCACCTCTTGTGCTGCGATTCAACTCAACCAGATGGCCGTATAAATATTAAAAAACAGTGTTTAACATTACTCCGTCGCAAGGAGACTGGACCATAGCGTGGTGCGATGGTTTGCGTACACTCGTGACCCATTGAACTACGCCGATTGGCACTTTCCAAGTGCTTCGGAGCCACTCATACCAAGCAGGTCAGTAGTCAGGGGTCAGACTCAATCTCACTATCCAATCCTCTTCGGTTATGGAGAGGTCGATGGCCCTCTTCCTTTAAGACCTAACCGTGGGAGTTAACAAGTCTACGGGTTATAAGCTCACAGCCCGATTGACGTAGAGCACGAGCTCCACGCATTGTCGTTGACAGTGGGAGGGCAGCTTCCGGTGCCTCGTGCTAGGCAGCCTCTGGTCCAATTGGCGTAAACCCGCTAACTCTCACCAACGGTTGGCCTTGGTCGCAGGTGCGTAAGATAATACGGTCGTAAAACAAGTGTACACTGTTCTAAATCTTCAAAGACTGTGACAGGTCTCTGAAATCACACTCCAGAGCTGGACTTGCTCCCCACTGCCTTATGAGTCAGGCTACTGAGCCAAAGGCTCCGGTTGGAGTCCCTCAAGCGAACGTCTATGTGCCCCACTGTTTTGTGCGTCCGGCTGTTGAGCCAAACGCTCCGGGTCGATTCGCTCAAGAAAATCTCCATATCCCAATTTCTTTGTGGATCAAACTGTTGAGTTAAGGATAGAGCCAGGGCACCTCCAACAAAACCCCCTTCTCGGATCGGGCAGCCGGAGGGTATCATGTATCCTCTCGACCACATCGATAATACTTCCTTTGCTTCTTTTTTCTTCCCTCTGTTTTCTTCTTCCCCGTCCATTGATCAAGCTGACTTCGCAGCTACTGACATCAATACATGTAGCTCTTCCATCAAGCCTGAAGTCTCATTTCAGTTTGGTTCTTTTAACGTCCGCACACTAGGTCAGATCGGCCAGCAGGTAGCACTGACTCTCACTCTTCACTTTTTTGGTATTAATGTGTGCTGTGTCTCCAAAACACACATGCAAGATAACAGCGTTGTGACAAACCTCTGACTCCCTGGTTCTGAATCGGACGACGATGGCTACACTCTTCGCATCTCTGGCGATACAGAGTCAATTGCTCAAGGTGTTTACGGTGTTGCTATCGCATTCAGCAAAGTCGTTGAATGCAATCTGCTCAATTGGATACCGGTGAACAGCCGCATGTGTGCGGTTCGACTTCGAACCTCTGTTTGGGGTTAATAAGCATCGTATGAAGATAAGGTGCCTTTTCCTCGCCTCCTACTGACTGCAGTTCGGAGAGTACCAAAGATAATTTCTACTACCATCTTTCAAGTCTTCTCCGCATGGCGAAGAATTCTGACACCGTGATTCTTGCAGGTGACTTGAATGCTCAACTGGATCGTCTTTCAGATTCTGAACAGCACCTAGCAGGGCGCTTCAGAGTCGATGCATGCTGAACAGACAATGGCGATCGTTTCCTGCAGCTGTGCGTGGATCACAACCTTTAACTTTGTAGCACTGTTTTCCAGCACAAACGTGCACACCGCGTCACCTGGTGCCCATTGAATTCCTCAATGACCTGGACCCAAATTGACTGTATTGCCATCAGCTACAGATGGCGCACATCAGTCCAAGACTGTCAGTCCATTTGGAACAGGCGCCTGGATTACGACTGTGTTCTGTTGCGCGCACGCTTGGTGCTCGCACTTCCCACTTCAAAGAAGCGTCTATTTTCTAACCTTTTTATTGGTAACTTAAACATGCACTCTGCAGTTCAACGGTATCATATCGACCCGGCCCACTAATTGTCAGTGATGAATGAGGTTGGTGAACCTATCGATAACTAAAATTGTCTCAAATGTGCCATGAAGAATGCCGGTAACGCACGCTATGCACCTAACTTGAGACATCGTAACTGAAAGGATTTTCCGGACATCAATCAACTTGATCGAAGCACGAAAACAAGTTCCGATGGGCACTGAGTTTTAGAGTATCCGTTACTCCCTGAAACGACGTCTGACGAGGAGTCTCCCAGTTGAGCGAGAACATTGATGGATGACAAAAGGTCGTTGAGATGGAGAAACCTAGTTCAATTCCTACTTGAACCTGTTTGACCACCGGTGTTTACGGAATATTGCTCACGTTAGGTGGGAGCACCGAGTGAGCGATGCTGAGGTCCGCCAGTTGGTTTTAGGAAAGAAAGCATACAATGCCCCACTTGTGTTTGCTGAATCTTAACCGCTTGCCTTGGGTAGAACATCTCCTTCGTATTTCCGTTAACCGGCTTCTTCGGCGTGCATTATACACCGTGACCGCACCAAGTTGGGCGAAACCGCAAGATAGCCAATCGATGACGTGGCATAGTGGCATGTAGAAATTGACTGAGTGACTTGCTCAGGCTGGTGCGTGCCGTCTTCGTGGATGGTGGCCTCGGGATGGTCCGCACCAATGATTGGAGACCGTATCAGATATGTCGCAGTCGTGCAGTCACTGGCGTACTTGCGTCTGATTTTTACATGTGCTTGCTAATTTTTGTTCCATTCTTATTAGTTTAACGCACCTTCTTCTTGTTTCAATTTTCTTTACATTCTGTTACACTTTAACCCCACTATCGCTGTTGCTATTAATTGCAATTCTTGCGATGTGAGTGGTGGCAACTAGATCCACCGCACTTTGGTGCTCGGATCAGGGTTGTTCAACCGAACTGAATTGATATAACATTGCTTTTGTTATGGCTCATGGACGAGATCATGGTATGAAGGAGAGGCCTATCTGGACAGTGTGGTTTTCAAAGGTCATGCGAATCCTAGCAATTTGTGCATTGAGCTCTTCAGTGATACTATCGCCAGTGGTGAAAAGTTAACTGATGAGCAGCCTCGAGTGGCTGGTCAGTTTTATTGAAAACTATGGGCTGTTGGTCCATTCCCAACAGGTTACCTTGTACTTCAGATATCTTCACATGCCTAGCATTAAGCGTTACTGTTAGCTTATTCAAGACCGATTGCATAGTCGATGTGTCCGATTCAGCGGATGCTTTGGATTTCACGGTTGGTTGCCCAACGAAACCGTTCCTCCAAGAGTAGCCGGAGGATACAGTAGGGAGCCATTCATGAGCATTTTAATGGCACTTAGAAAATAGATAGTCAAGACACTGTTGACAGATTGTACTTGTCGTGATGAACTTATCCGAGAGCCTCTTGTTAACCCTGGAGTAGTTTCATAGATATTTTAGAGTAGAGAGTAGCTTTTCAGACGTCTTTCAAACCGATAGCTTGCCACACTGTCGCGATAAACGGGATTAAATGAAGCTTTCAAGTCATTGTAGTCTGCTATGCTGTTTGTAAGTACATGTCGTTGGAGCGCAGCGAAGAGCAAAATTTCTTCACCATCTACTCTGACTGGGCGGAATCCCGTCTACTTTTCACTAGTTGGTGACTCATCTTGAATACTTGAGTGATCGGGCGACAATAGATTCGGCTTGTACACCAGTGCTGTCATCGAGCTCTTCTTTGATATGGGGATGAAGGTGACCGACTGTCAGTCAGCCACCCAACACCAAACATTCCGAATGTATCATCAAAGTGCTCTGCACATCATTTCGGCCGATACGATTTTAAATCAGTCATCCATCTTTCTTAGTTGATGCACCACTTACAGGATCCTGTCTTAGACTTGTGTGTCGAATGAGTGTGGTCAACGCTAGTGTTTCAAATGACAGTGACCTTTTCCAACACTTTCTGTTCATTCTCAGACTCCTGGCACTTCGCACATCTGGTTCTCTATGTAATTTCGGTTGTCTATTCCCCATGAATTCTTTGCAGAGTTATCTGTCCCACTTACTCTTTTTAGTACTTTTCGTCGTCGTACTTTCCCGCTGTGACGCGACACGTTCATTCAGTAATCATTATTTTCATCTCTGCTCACCTATTTAAGCGTATTTGTGTGGTCAGCTGGCACTAGTTAGCTTTGGATAGCTCATACCAATAAAAACTTACCTCCTTCTTCTGCAGATTCAAGCCTTTCACACTTTGAAAAGCTCCTTACTGACGAATTGGAAGGGTCGACCAATCGCCCACTTGATCCATGGCGTCCACGCCCACTTGTTGCCAGCCGAGCGCCCGTCGCCGAAGAGGGCTCCTTTGTACTGTGTTGTTCTCATCCAATGCATGCTGCGTGCAAAGTCAAGTTTGCCCGACAACTCAAAGCACGCGTTGACCATCTGAACAGGTCAGCCCAGCTTTTGTTTCTTCCTGCGGTCAAACGTTCTACCTTGCTACCACCAGTAGTAGCTCTGTCATTTACCTCATAAGGTTGCGCGTTCTGTGTCCACAGACGACAGCTACCACAACAGCAAAAGCATCTTAATTGAGAGTTCGTCGCAGCAAATTCCAATTTAAGTGGTCCTCCACGTGCCCGGAAAAGCACCGGACTGCAGTTCAATTTTTTGGACGTCATCAATCGTGCGAACCCATCGGATTCGAACCCATGACCGCCAGCGGCTTCCGCCGCCAGTCAGCAGCTTGTAAATCATGACGGTCCGACTCTGTCTGCTGTGGCCCAGTGGCATAAGCTGCTGACCGGGAGTATAAGCCACTGGTAGTCATGAGTTCGAATCCCGATGGATTTACACCACTGACGGTGTCCAAAAGGGTGGAACTGCAGTCTAGTGCTTTTCCAGGAAAATGGATGACTGTCTGATTTAAACCCTGCTGCGACGAACTCTCAATTAATTACGTCAACGTCCCCTACTCACGAGTGGACGTCGTGTCTTTCGGGGCTAACCCTGTCCTCTTCAACGTTCGTGACTTGCATAACATTTAAGGCTAAGACGTACTATGTCGCAGTTGCCTTTTAAATTATAACGGTCCGACACTGTCCCCTGTGGCCCAGTGGCATAAGCTGCTGACTGGGCCGGAAGTCGCTGGTAGTCACTGGTTCGAATCCCGATGATTTCACACTACTGATGATGCCCAAAATGTCGAAACTGGTCTACTGCTTTTCTGAACATGTGAAGGACTACCTTATTTGTATGCTACTGCTACGAACTCTCGGTAAACTACGTCAAAGTCCCCCTAGCCATGAGTACATCAAAAGTAATAAAGTTACTGCAATTTTTAATCTTAAACACATGCCTCTTGACTGAGACGTGACTTTTTAATTGAAATAAAATCCATTTGAATTGACACATTTTTTTCCAAACAGGAACTAAGTTTTATCTAGGATGAATAAAATTTCGGAGTTCTGGTGGCGATGAAATCGTCGAAAGCAAGTTTAGCATCTTTGTGGGTATTAAAATACTTCACTTGGAGGGTTATTCAGGTGCTTGTAAATCTGGTAATCGGTAAGCTGGAGTTCAGGGGAGTATGGTGGGTAAAACACAGTTTCGTAGCCCAGCTCGTGCAGCTTCCGCAGGGTTGTTTGTGCGACGTGCGGCCGAGCGTTATCATGGAGCAGAATTGGCCCCTTTCTTTTGACCAGTGCCAGGTATCTGTGTTGTAGTGTTCGAAGCATTTCGATAGTTTATTGGCAATACCTCTCCGTTGTAATGGTTTCCCATGGATTCAGAAAGCTGTGATTGATTAGAGCACTTGCATACGACCAAACAATAACCATAACCCTTTGTGGATACAATTGCGAATTTGGGAATATTTGTGGAGCTTCATCGTGGTCCAACCACTAAGAGATTCGTCGTCGATTGTCGTAAAGGATTCACTTTTCATCGCGTCGCAATCCGGTCGATAAACGTGTCGTTTTTTATTGCGCAAACGAAGGGCAGACGACACCTCAAAAGGTGAATTTCTTTGGGTTTCATTCAATTTGTGCGACACCCTCTCACCAAGCTTTTTCGACGTCCAATCCCCCAAAATGTTTTAAAGCTGTCACATGCGATACTGTTAAGCCAGCAACAAGGTCTCGGATCCGCTTTAAGACCCTTACTTGCTCGTTGTTCACTTCCAATGGCTACCCACAACGCTATACATTTTCAAGCCTCTCGCAATCTTTCGGAATATTTTGCAGTCCCACCATTGTGCAGCACAATTGTTAGTGGCTGCAGCACCAAATGCACTGTTGATGTGTCACATAGACTGTGGCCGCTGTATCGCGGCCAAGTTTAAATTGGTACAAAAATTGTACGACTTTGTTTTTTGTCTATGTTACATTAACTGTACAGATGTAAAGATATGTGTCCTAGCTAAACTATCACTATTGTTAGATAGAACACAAAACAGGCTTCAAATTTATATACAAAATCAACGCAACCTATTAAAAATTATCCAAAAACGCAACTATTAGAATAAAAATCTCAAAAAACCGCAATAACTTTATTTACCAACCTGATATATTAGCAATTTGGACTGATGCTTCGTTACCGCACGGCACAATGACCTACGGAACGAAGAACAATGAGAGAGAGAGAGAGAAAGGACATAGCAAACAAATTTAATGCCCCCAAGCAAATATACAAATCAAGGCGCCTACACCTTGTCAACAACATACGGTCGCAAACATCTGGATATCATGCGAAAGCATGGCGGCGTCAGCTAGACAGCGTTTTTGCGGCTTTCACTACCCAATATCATAATCAGCGGTTACCCAACAGATAACTCAGCACCAAACGCCCTCTAAACAAACAGTCCGACAAGGAGACGGCAGCAGACACGCCACTGGTGTCAACTGCGAGCCATGTCTTGTCACGTCTCGGGCCAAGCACAATGCGGGTCATGTGAACTCCAGCTTGGAAGGCGAGACGAACTGACAGCATGCAATTTTGTGGTTGGTGACTTTACCTCCCACCTCCAAGTTGATTTTTACCCAATTCTAGTCTTTCGCCACCCTGCATCCAGCAAACAAAACAAGGCCGTTCTTGGTAAGCGATGACCGTGCATACGTAGTACGCAGCTTATTCAGTGCTATCTATTGTTCCAAGGAATTAGTATGATTATCACTGCCCAGCAATCATCGGCCCGCCTCATCGTTGCGCACACGCTGGTGCCATCTGACATCAGGAATGCTTCGCAGACACTGATGATCAAAAACTTGAAGTCGCCTCGGATCAACGAGGTCAAGTTTTACTTCCATACAATAGGACGGTCCTCACTGTTGCTTTTAAAAAATGCCTTTCAAATCGATGGAAACCCCTTTTTGACGCTATAAATGTCGCAGGTTCAAGAAGGCAGTTCTAACTTGAGCAATACCTGAACCGACTTCATTGCTTATGGGGCCATCGTTGCTAATGCAGTTGGCAAGGTAAGTGAAGTGATCAACTACCTCGAGTTCATTGCTATCAAGGGACAAGGGGTCATCAAGTGGCTGCTGTTTCTACAATAACACTGCACTTTGAAGGTGCAAAGCACATACCGAACGAGGAAACTACTCTAGAGAGGTTATTCAGTTTTGATTGGGCCGCCGCAACATCCTTAAAAGGAAGACAATATCGTCCGTATAAACAAAAGTTTGGGTAGCGCACTAGATTCTGTTATTAAAAAGCAACCTCATTTCACACCTCGTATCAATTAACGCATATTTCCCTGTTTTTGGATTCTCGGCTTGCGCTCGAGTTTCGTTCATGTCGGCCCAAATCGATTACATACTATCGACGGCCGATGGCGAAACATGCCTTCGCTTAGAACATGTTTGTGTTTTTACCGGAGTTTCTCCGTAGCTGTTGGTCAACGGGTTGCTGATGCTTCCTGCACGTCTGGCAGTTCCTACCGCAGCCTGTGTGCAAGATTTACTAACGTTTTTAGTCTGCTGAACAAACTATACTTGCTGTGTCGTTTCGTATACTGTCGGTGGCCAGAGGTATTAGACCTAACAAACATGAGTTTATTCAGATGTAACGGCCCAAAAAGCGGTGGCTACTTGTGCTTCCGCTTTGATACACTATCACATGACCGCGGCGGATTGCTTCTATACGTACGGTCTTCTTCGTGTGGGAGACTCGTGAGCACCTACCGAAGCGCCGATGGCCTATGTGAGCAGTTATGGTGTTCGACTCACAACAGGCGCAGCGAGCTGCTCGTGGGTTTGGTCTATCGCTGTCCACTGAGCCGCTGTTTAGAGTGGTTGCTGCGTGTCCATAACTGCATGAGTCATTCAAAGTTCCTGCTCATATGCGATTTCAACTTATTTCGCCTACAGTGACCTGCTGCTGAACTACTCCCCGGCCATTGTGAAGTCGAGAGGAAGTTCACGGAGATGGCATTTAAAACTAGGGTCACACATCAACCAGCCGACGCTCTTAACCGCGCGCTCGACTCCATCGTGCTTAGACCTGCTATTGAACAGTTGTGAGCAACCTATGCATGACATGCAGGTCTTGGAGCACCTGGGAACGAGTGACCACTCGATGATGGTAGCTAGCTTGGAGCTGCCGCTGCCGTATTCTCCCCTTTGAAGTCATCCTTCGACTATTACCAGGCGGATTTTAAAAGTCTCGCTCGAGCCACGATTTTGATGGATTGGTGGTTACCAAAATATTCATCCGTTATAATGGAGGGAAAAAATCCTGTGCACACTTTGTACTTCTCAACTATCGGAAATTTGGACCAATGAAGCCAATTTGATTTGACAAAATTTATAGCAGCTGGCTCGACGCCGACGCAGCCTGTGAAATATATTCATACTATCTGGCTCTGCCAAATACTAGCACGCTTACAAGATACAGCCAAATCTGCGATAACGCGAAAACACAAAAGCGTTGAAACTTCAAAGAGTAACTTGCAGCCGTGGCAAAACTGTTCCCAAGAGGATCTTCGCCTATGTGAAGCGGCGCTTAAGGTCTGCAGGCAATATATCAGTGTTGGAGGGCTCAGATGGACAGCCTTTAACCTCGATCACTAATTGGGCGTCCGCATTAACAGCGCACTTCGCTTCCATACTTGTAAGTGACGGAGTTCGACAGATACCACCCCCTACCGAATTAGACAGCCTGGATTGCGGTATTGAATATGTAAGCAGACTGCTGGCCATTCTTGACGGGACCAAGCCTGCCGGACGTGATGGGAACCACCCATTGATCCATAAGGAATGACAGCAAATGAGACTTAAAAATCGTGCCGTCTCTTGGTGAACATATACAGGAGTTGACTTCCAGTGAAATCTCTAACAGACACTCGTGTTTAGCCATGTGCAATGAGTCATGTGAGATTGTGCAGAGAAATGTGGGAACAGTCAGCTCGGGCACAGATGGCAGATTCCAGTAGAGCATGCCACTTTGTAAATGCATACTGAAAAGAAATTCCGACGGCTTTCCAAACGACTGTACTGCTATACCAGCTTGAAATGGTGGCCTCTCAAGTTACTGTTGTGACTGAGCTCTATCAAATGACGGTACGTGTTGTTGAGATCTTTAAGCTCAGGTAAGTCAAAATAAACTTTTTTTCCGCCATCACCGATATTGTCTGTTAAAGACTCCGAACGTTCGAAACCTATTTTCATACGGCAAATGACACAAGACCATGATATTCTGGTTTGCTCGGTGTTCTAGTATCTCCAAGGCAATGAACTCTCTTCTTAACCATGGTTGGCAAACCTGTGTTGAGTATTCGTCTTGTGGACATAAGTATGAGCCGAGAAGTTGTGGAATAATCGACGGGTCGAATTGTCTGAATGCACACGTCAAGAGACCCATGTGTTGGGTATGGCGTGGGCCGAAAGATAAAGGTGTCTGCCTTGTTATTCATTTTTCATCGGAGGGATTCCGCTAAGGCTCTGGTGATCTTGCCGTAATCCCAGTCCACTCGCGACCAGTATTGTTCGCGTGATAGCTAAGCGTCCGTACAGTGTACTGGGGTACTGCTGATAACTATTTCCTCCTGGCTACAGCAGCAGCTATCCACAGCGTATTGTCTTCAGTCTAGGTGCGTGGTTGCCTCGATACATTCGCGACTCACTACCCTGATCGTACTATGTACTGTAACCTCAGTTTCTTGCGACAGCTCCCTTATGATATTTCCCGGGATATTGCTGCCGTAAAGATCTGGGAGAAAGCCACTGTGCATCGAAGATATTTGACATGTTGCTTCATCACTTTGCACGCAGCATGTAACATATTTGTTGGAACTTGCGGCTACAATTGCTACTTGGTTTTATACTTACCATACATACTAAATCTACCTATAATCAACTGGATCCTATCTTTGAACAACTCTGTGTGTCGCATTGCTTAAAGTGATTTTAGCATCTCTCGGCGAAATCGGCAATCAAATGTTCACTGGATCCACCCAACTTCTTGTTACTTATCCCCTTTCATGCTAGAAGACGTTATAATGAATTTCCTTCCCCTAATGCTACTCTTAATGGGACTTTTTTCGAACCCTGATTTGTTATTTTATCATGAATTAAATCCATCTATTTGATCTCATTTTTAGACACCGGGACACGAACTTGTTCGTTTTCGAATTCCGTTGTCCATCGTGTAAATCGATTTCTAATTTGGATTTACCCGTCCTCGGCTCGTTTGCAACCTCCACTCCTTGGCAGTGGTTGAGAGCGCGTTTGTTGTCAGCACAGCCAGGCTCTTCCGGGCCCCGTGCTCGTTTTCAGCCGCTTGTCTCGTGGCTCGATCGTCTGCAACAGTGGCTACGCCTACCCATAGCAGAAGGCATAGGCTGTCCTCTTGATACCTCAGAGGTAAGTACGGTTACGGGTATTTGCGTTCTCACTCCCAAATTTGAGCGCGTATGATTTGTCCGTTTCCTGCTTTAGTCAACCTTATACCTGTGACCTCCGTGAGCGCGAGTTTCGCTTTGGACTGCATCAGTGACGCCGTCTCACAGTCAGTGCAGTCTTTTTATTCGGTCCTTTGTTTCCATTAATTTATCATTCTTATTAATCTTGTCCACTTGTTTTAAACTTTTCTAGTCATTTTTCTTCTGTACTGTGTTTACACTCTACCTCAACTAGTGTTATCCTGGGTACGCGAGTCGTTGCAACGGGATCCACTGCATTTCGGCACCTAGTTAGTCATCTTTTTGCTCAGTTCAAATTATCATCTTACTTACCTCATCTCTTTACCATTTATTTCTCCGAAACTTTAATTCGGGTATCTAAATCCACTTACTGAGTAACAGTACTCCTTCTCTCTAATGGGGGCGCCGAAGAAAAAGCGTCTGGTTGATATTGCCGTCTTTTTGAGCTTAGGACCCACTGTCGATCTCAAGGGCGCACTTTCGGTGACCGTCACTCTTGTAAACATCAAATCCTCAATGTTGTTATCTACGAAAGCGTACTTGGTGCACCGATGTTCCTGCTCTATGTTCTCGATAAAGTCCTTTTTCTATTCTCCGGTGATATCATTGTTGTTAATGTGCTCCAATGGGGTTAACTTCATACTGCTGCTCAATCCGAATAACTTCTGTACACCTAGCGAATGATGCAACGCACAGATTCGGAGGTTCTCGGTCATTAAATCATACATCTTACCCTGCCATTCAATACCTTGATCCATGGAGGGTAGTTTGCACGCAATATGTAATATGTCCGTGTACAACTGTCCTCCTGGGATATCGGAATCAAATGTTCTTACACCTACAACTTTCCTGGGCACCCCCTGTAACCGAATCGTGCGAACCGGACAGTCTTTGGCTAAGGTATAGAACAAACAACATTCAATTGTTGCTAAAGTTGATTCTTCTTTTCATGCCCTCTCACTCCACAAATTTAGTAACGTAGCACTCTTCATTCATCATGCGAAAAGCAATGGAAGAACTCACTGAACTCATGTCGTTTACCGTACTTTTGTTTGCAGTGTGTACTGGGAACCACTGCCAGCCTGTATGCTTATGAAAGTTGTAGGGTAATTTAATCTAACACGCTGAAAACCCTACTGCTATTTTGCGGCGCTAAAATTACAGTAGTATTCTACTCGGAGACTTCATCACGAATGTCACACAATAATTGTGCCAAAGGTACCCTGATATTTGTCCGTTCCCTAGTCAAATTTGCTTCACTGTGGAGTAGGCGGTCAACATCGATCGGTTCATGTAAGAGCGCTGCGACATTCAATGCATAACCTCTAACTAACTCTGATGTTAACCCAATTATTATCATGTTTTCATCGAACATGTTGCTCAGGATGAGACAGTTTTATAGGATTTGAATGTTTTACGAGGGAAGCACACCACCACTGGTCCGAATCTGTAAATCGGTTCACTTAATCACTCTACCATTCGTTACAACTTCTGTCCAATTCGGTCTGGTTGCGATGGAGTATAACACACTCGCTTCTGATCAGAAATAGTTTTACTGACACAACGATGTCTCGTGATGTGTTCTCCCCTCCTGCACTTTTGTGGACTTCAGTTAATTTTTGGGCTCCCCCCATACGTTCCCTGATCCCCTTTCGCAATTTCTCTTTATCATTTGTGTTGTATTCTATTCGGATGCCATGGTATTCGTAGTATTTCAATCCTCTACTTATCTCCACTTTCATTCAATTCACCACATTAATGTGACTGCTTTCCATTATCCTCTCGTCACTAAACTGCCTGCAGTACACTTGTTTTCCCTTTCGTCATGTTAGTGTTGTACCGTTGACCCATAGTATGTATTGGAATACATGATCGGACAATCGCTTAATCTGCTGTCCCAGTGAACAATAAGTGGCTTAAAACCACACTGCAAACGCGACTACTTTTGGTTTTCCTCGTTCCTCCGCTTATCTAGCTTCCAGCATCATATCGTAAGATCAGGTGACCTATTTCACCGCAATGTAGTGATCGTTTCTGGTGACTACTAGTAATATACTCATGAGACCTTGTCTCGTCCTCACGAACACAAAAGTTTACCGGATGTTTATCTCGTAGTGACTTTTCAGTTGAACAACTTCAAGGTCACTGAAGCCACAGAACTCCACCGATTATTTTAAAACGTATCCGAGACACCACGCATAACCCGCAGTTTGTTGCTTTTATCCAAATGAAACGGGCTATCAATAAATGTTTTAAAAAATGTTGGCCTCGTCAACTGCGGTCGTTGCTCAACACGCGAGACAGATTATTTAAGTGACATCTCTGCGTTCTTTACCCATTTTGTTTTTAATATTGTAAAATTCTCATAATTACTGATGCTGTTTATTACCACGATTGTGATAGTGTAAAATGCTGAAAATGCATTCATCTGAGTGCATAAAGCTTTCTTTAATTTGACTTGTTTTAATTCATGCCGCGGCTCCATACCTTATCACGTTGCTCTTTGGTATTGAAATTTTGAATGCGATCATCTCACACTCATGAGATTTGTGCCATTCGTTCCTCTTGATTATACGCGAAGTTTTCGTCCACCTATTGGTTCATTGATAAATCTACATCTCAGACTGTGATGCCCACATTATGCAAACTGCGCTCATTGCTAAAATTCACTACTAGTTTTATTTAGTTTTCAGTCTGACTACTGAGCCACTTTTCTTATTCCATTTGAGATTCTCACCTGAGTCACGACTGACGCACCACAGCAGATTATCACCTTTGAGTTCCCACTTTCTTTTCCTCTTCCTAGCCAAAGGATTCACTGAATCAATTTTACAAGGGACTTGATGATGCTGCGAAGAACGAAGAAGGTTTATCGGGAAATCCTCTTCTACTGTCTGTGCTTACGCGTCTTTTTGACATTCTATCTGTGCAGCAAGATCAGACGTCGATTCCTGTCAATCGCGCAGCTGCCATTTCTGACGCTTCTGGTATGAACACTGAGGTCTCACGACCATGGAATCGTGCGTCGCGCCGATATTATTGGCGAACTCGTCTTTCTGCTCGCAGGCGGCCCGATGTAGAGCCGAATTCAAATCGCTTTTCTTCCAGTTACGAGCCTTCGGTTTCTCGTCAGCGGAATGCATTGGACCACTTACTACCGAAGCCTCCGGAGCCTCCAGCGGTGTCTACCAGTTTGTTTGTAATGGTTCAACAGTTATCTGCGCTATGTCAACCCCGACCACTTGAATCCCTCTTACATCGTCCACTTCGTCGAACTGCCAACGATTACCTGGGTTAGTAATTCCACCACATTTTTCATTCCTCGGGGATTGTTCTGTTCTTGCCCTAACATGTTTCTTAATCGCTTATCTTGTTTGCTTCACTAATTAGGCATTTCACGAAGCGCATAACTCTCATCTTCAACTTTTTTCAACATTCATTCCCAGCTTCCCGTCGCTCTCACTGTCTTATAAACCAAACATTTGGTAACTTTTACGCACGTAGTGCGAACACTATGTGGAAAACCACATTGTTCCAAACCACTTTTGTTGTGACTTTTCCTTTCTTAGTTCTAACTCCAGTGGGTTTAATAAGCATTCACCTGATATACAGTGAATACGCTCACTTCGTTTTTTATCCATTCACTCAGCTTCAGTTGGCACCGAAACCGTGCCCGTGCCAGAGGTAGCAGTAGACATCGAAGAAGAAGAGGACTATGAAACCGCTTTCACCATCGGAATCGGCCAGGATGTGCACATGGAGATCGGCCTGCATGCGACTGCCCTCATGGACTCAGAGCCAGCGCCGATTTCATTATCCCGCTCAGATCGAACCACGAGCACATCTCAGCGAACATCCGGGCAGTCCAGAAATGAATCTGAACTGTTTCCTCTTCCACTACATCGTGCCATCGATCGTTTCTATTTAAGCCTTCAAAACTTTTGTGAACGTCTGTGCGTTCTGGACCTGTTAGGATCTTCCGCTCAGAGTTCAACTGCCGGCGGCTCTTCTCGAGGAATCGCGGATTCCGCTGTTCAAGATAAAAGCAGTAAAGACGAACTTTACGAACTGACTAGATTAGCACTGAGCTCCGTCTATCAACACGGAAGGGACGCGGTTTTGTCCGCAGCCCATGAATGGCGCGCTTTACGACATACAGTGGCTTATACATTGATCTCCTCCGAACGAGTAAGTATTCTACTGTCACAACTGCCACGCAATTAAATCACTCGTTTGGAGTCAATTAACTGTTCCAATGTGTGACATCGATATAAATTCACTGGTAAACGGCTGTGTTGATGGACTAAACACCGTCATTTTGCAACCTGTTTTCTTTTCCGGTTGCTACATTCAATCGTGGACATTCCAAAGTTTAGAGATCACCTTTTCCAATCGGTGACATTTTGATCACTGTAGAAAATAACCTATATCATTTGTTACTGTGGTTTCCTGCGTCTGGTTCTTACCGTGACCGTTAGTTCTGCCTTTGTTGCAAATTTTTCTGTTCTTTGCATCTCCAGTATAGCTTCAGACAACGGTGACAGCGCCCAGTTGAGTTTCTCACCTTGTTATCGTCATGCAATAGGTGAAAAGACAATTACGCCCTGAAAATTTAGTATTTTCTTAACTACGGCGGTAATTACTGAAAGTGTAGCAAATCGAGTTGCGGAATCTGTACATCTAAGTTTCTGCAACAGTCGCATGACCTGCTTTGTTGTCATCGCGTTGTCTGTTTCCAATATCCACTCCACAGTCAGGATGCCCTTCGTCCGTTTGCTTACCTTTTCTCAGACTTTGGCACCCATTTCATTTTGAGTTCTTGGTAATTTGTGCAACTAATTCAAGTGTTCTTTGGGGCACTGACACTGCCTGTCATCAGGTGCGCTGTTCTGTGGCATCCCCTTCATTATTTGTGCCAATTATCGACCGGAGCTGCTTGTTTTACTTCCTACTATACTTTTCCCAGTTTTGCCGTTACCTGGTTAATTGTTGATTCTTGGTTCAACACGCTCGTTCTCGTTTCCCCTTTATACCAAGGCTATGCGTCATGATGATCCACGAGAACATTTTCTTAACGGTGGCTTAGCTGAACGCCATCTTCGTAGTATGGGCACCTTACTTCGCGTTTCCTTGGCCGCACATGCTCGTCACGCAGTGGTGTCTCCCGGTTGCCCTTCTGCATGCACCAGCTATCGTCCTCTAAAGACCAGCATTGGTGAAATGTATCCGAATCACAATTTCTGTTGGCCTCAATTACGTGATCATTCAATGCAGTGGTGGTGGTGGAGCTATTGTGCCCCTCTGCCAAAGGGATCCCCTGAAGGTTGTCTACTCGTTGTTAACTGCACTAGGAATTTGCGCTGCGTCTTATACTATTTATTTTAATATTGGCAAACATAGTTCAATACTCATCTATCTTCTCCAGCTTTTGTTTCAGCACCATCGCTTGTCCCACAGAATATGTCCATTTGGTGGTTTTTTACCCTTCCTCGACGAATTAGCGATCCTATGTCATTTGCATGATTTAAAACAGTTAGCTCCCTTCAGTAGTTTGAACAACGAAATGAGGACGAATATTGGTTTTCAGCCCCAGAGAAAAAGGTATACATATAGCTACCATTTAAGGGTAACACCGCGGCAAGTAGGACAACTAAAGGCATAGTGTCGGCCATTCAGCGTACGCACTGTGTTGCGGAGGTGGTACTTATCAACAGAATCCGAAAGTTGCCGTTACCTTCATTAAAGGAAGAGGGACCCGTCGGGGCCAAATCACATTGTGTGTACCAATTCGTGTATGACTGCTGCATCACTTACATCGGCAAAACCAAACAGGCTTTGGATTCCAGATTGAAGGAACACTTACCAGACTGGGTTCAGCGCGAAGTTACTCAATCCCCTTCCGCTGATACGTGCTCGCGTAAGCCGCCGGCGTCCTCCATACGCAAGCACATTTTGGCGACTCATCACCGAATTAATCCCTTATCAAAGTTCCGAATCTTGTTGCGCCATACAAATCCACACCTTTTTCGATTTGCCGAGGCCGTCGCGATACGCCGAATTGGACTAGCTTTTTGCGTTCAAAATCAACGTCAACGCGCAGTTGCCGTGGTCCTAATGCCAAACACAATGACCACAATAATGAATTCGATTGGCTTGACTGTGCCCTATGAGACTTATAAAAAGATTTCTCAGTTATTTTATTTATACTGATGAGATAATACGAAATGCTAGCATCCTCCAATATTCGTATCGTTTCGCTGTTCAATATACGCGATTCCCAATTACTATCTCGTAGCCTAAACACCGAATTTTAATCTGCATGCACTCGGTATCCATGATAATGTCCTATTTACCTTTTTAAGTTTTTCGCAGTCTCGTCTTCCTGTATTTGTGGAATACTTGATCCCTATCTGTCTGTATATTTCTTGCATCTCTTTAAGCTGCTTGCCGATCGGAGCGTCCAATGAACCTTAACAACGTGGCCGAACATGCTGTCCGAGTTGCAGCAACTGAAGACGCCCGCTATCTTTGGGGCTTACTCGTTCCGCACTTCACTTTGGAGGATACTCATACGGAAATCCCTCTATCTCTGGATGTTATGCTAGATTCTATTGTAAAACGTTCACTTAGTGGATATTCGCATGGTACCCTTTCACTCAGTCTTTTATGGGAGGTACGTTCGTGTTACGAGTTCGCACGTCTTGCTTATGACTTCTCTTGCCTTTATAAAGCTTTTCTTCTGCTTTATCACCTGGTAATCTTACACTTTCTGAGTGAGGTTATGTTCTTAACTGCCCGCCGTTGTCGCTCATTGTTACGTAACAAGAATTAAGGTCACGTGTATATTGATCTTACTTGGTACTGAACTCTTCTTTACTATCATTGTTCCTTGGAACTGATTTGAGATACTCTGACTTGCATTTCTGATACATTTCATTAAGATATACATTAACCCTGCACATCGGTACTCCTTCCAGAACTCATATACATCGAAATCGTTATTTTGGACACGTTTACCTTAGCTATATTGGGTCCTCGAACAAAGAGAAATAAATTCCCGATTATTTTTTCCTCCTTCCTTTCTATTCAGCTAACGGAAATACTTATCCATTTAGCTCACTAGCGGTGATACAAATGCTAATATGTGCCACTTTCAGTTGTAGCTAATTTGCTCACCAGTGAAACGCAATTTTTGTATTGTCGCTTATTTGATTCCATCGGCGAAACTGTGGTCGTCCATCTCGGTTACCACCTTTTGGAGCACCTGATGTATATCAAGACAGGATTTGTCCCATTGATGATGGGTTTGACTTTGTCACCGTTTGTTCATCATAATTAGGCTTCTTCTCGTCTCTCTTTCCATCACACTTCGGCTGATGTGGATTCTGCGATTATTCCACTTATGTCATCGACAGTTGCTTACTCTCTTTCCGTTTCTCAGGTTGATATCACCTTCTTGTTCATCAGTCTGTTGCATTTGCGACCCGGTTTGGAAGAAGACGGATTGGTCGAGTGTCAATGCCAACGAGACTCAATCACCTCCCACTCCGGCACAAACTCGGAAACCGTTGCATCCGATCTCAGTCCCAGCTTATTGTCCTGTGATCACGGTCGACCTCGGGAACCGATTGGTGACTCGCATGAGGCACATTTGTTGCGATTGTGCTACACTGCATTGTTGACTCAGTCAATTTTATCATGGACACCTGGCTGCCGTTCTTCCGCCTGCTCCGAGCTGTGTGCATCACTCGCTGTTGGCACATCCACTGACGGCTGGTCCTCACCCCAAGTGTGTACTACTTTTACCTCACCTGTTTATTAACTTCTAGTGTAAGTCAGCGTAGCCCAACTGCATTGAAGGAGCATAATGTATGCGACACCAACAACATGAAAATAAGTATATATATATATATATATATATATATATATATATATATATATATATATTCATTCATAAGTCCGTATATCGACAATGTGCAATCAGAACCATGGCGAAATGGAAGACAATAGGCGTACGAAAGAAAACAATTAAAACGACAGTTTTTCGGGTTTCACACACGCTGTTTTGAGTTTTTTGTTTTTAAATTATATAACTATATATTAGAGATTAATACACAGAAAAAGCACACGACAACACTGGCGCCACTGATGTCTGTTACGTACCATCACATTCAGCGTTTGCGACCGCATGAATTCCGAGTCACCTGATCCCCAACCTGGGAGACGCGGTGATCAGACTGAAGCTAAGCTTGTGGCTGCGTTATTCATGCCCCTTTTCCATCTCACTGGTTGTGGACCGCGTTACTTTTTCCAATCGCTTCCGGGAAGCGCAAATAACGCCCGCCGAGGAAGGCGATCGGCTGGCATCCACAGTACGTGGCCGAGCCCACGCATGCGGTGTCGGAGAACAACGTTCTGAAGACCGTGGTTGTTCGCTCCAACAACTCGTTCACGAACCTCCGTATTGCTTATGTGATGTTGCCACCGCACACGAGGAATCCTTCGTAAACAACGATTGTCAAAAACGGACAGTTATCTTATATTTTCGGAGCGAACAGGCCAGGTCTCACAGCCGTACGGACGGAAGCATTATATACCCTGTCCTTAAGCTTGAGACTGTCGTCACGACGACGCCATAGGTGTCTCAGTTTGTGAAAGCAAGGCGAGCTTTTGCAATGCGCTGTGAAACCTCATCTCCAACTCCGTCACCAGTCATGATGCGACTCCCTGGATAAGTGAAGCAATCCACTCGTTCCCGTATGTCACCAGCAATAATGAGCGCGATCGCAGGCCCCTGCCAATCCTGAAATAGCACTTTACATTTGGCTGGGGTGAAATACAAACCATAATTGGATGCCTCAATTGCTAAGCGGTCTGTGTTTTGGACGGTTTCCAGATCGTCACCCAGCAATGTGATGTCATCGGCGTAGTTCAAGTCTTCGGTTCTGGCGCCAGGGAGAAGCTCAACACCACAATTCGGGACATCTTCTAGGGCTCACTGCACATCTTCGATGGCATAATTGAAGAAGAAGAGCGAAATAGGGCAGCCTTGGCGAAAGCCGCTAGTGACATCAAACGAAGAAGAAAGTCTGCCGTATGCACTAATTTTTCCCGACGTGTGACCATACAGTTCCATCAGAATAGCGACAAACATGTCGGGCACACCCTTCCTTAGTAGTTATTTCCATAAAGCAGCTCTGTCTACTGAATCGAATGCCGTGCGGATGTCCAGGAACACTACGATGGTCGCTCGACAGTGTACGTGGCAGAGCTCGAGGATTTGTCGGAGCGTGAACACCTGATCAATGCAACTTCTGCCTAGGCGAAAACCGACTTGTTCCTCTCGGGAAAAATTCTCTGGTGGAGGAAAGCCTACGAAGTAAGCTGGACACCAAAATCTTGGAAGCAACTGAAATCAGCGAGATTCCACGGTAATTAGCACAATCTTCGCGGGGGCGTTTCTTGTGAAGCCGGACAACGATTGAGTCTTCCCATGAGTTGGGGGCTTTCTCATCAGTCCAAACCTTTGTGAAAATTGAGTGCAATTTGTTGACAAGTACATTTCCGCCATCTTTGCAAAGAGCCGGAGGAAGATTGTCAGGGCCGGGAGCTTTATGCCGTTTCAAAGATCGGATTGTGCTTCAGATCTCGACTTCGGTAGGAGGGTCATTAGGGACAAACCAAGCAACATCTGATGGCGATGGAGGTGTTACAGAGGGATGCGTTGGGTAGTTAAATTGAAGAGCAAAGTGCTCTGCCGAGTGCTCTAATCGCTTCTGCTGGTTGGTGATTTTTGTGCCTTCTAACTCACAGATTGTCTGACTGATGGCGTGTGAATTGCAACCGGTGGCCTTGATGAGACGAAACAGACTGCGGCAGTTTCCAACCGATGCAGTGGCCTCCATCCCTGCAGCAAGCCTAGTCCACCAGGATCCACGGTCAGAGCGAAGGCTTGCTTTCAGTTGTAGAGAAATAGACCGATGAATTTTGTTGTGTTCCCTGCTAGCGGGCACGACGCGTCGACGATCTAAAGGTACCGAGGAAGTTGCCTAGATCCAGCTTCTAGCTGTGCAGCGGACGAGGCTGCAGCTGGACAAACCTGTGGACAGCATGACGTTTTGCAAGCCTAACTAGTGCTGGTCAGCATCTAGAAAAGAGATGGAAAGGTTTTCATGAACCTTAAGTTGAAACTCACGTTGGTCACATGGACGTTGAATCAAAATCACCAATCAGTGGCTATGTCAGATGGCCAATAGCGGAAGTACACGCACGCACGCACACACGCACGCGGTGAGCGCTTGGCACAGCGTATCACCCTTGGTCCCTCTGTAGGCGCAGTTTTCATGTGACTGTCCTGTAGAGGCCGCAGTGACAGACAAATGTCTCCACGGATGCCGCCGTCCTGGTGAATTGATGCATTCTGTGGTATACCTGCGAATAATTGTTACAGTTCAGCCTTGAATGCGTCGATGGGGAATGGCGAGACGTCTAGATCATGTATGTTGAACTTGACGGATATAAGAACGTGAATATATATTGGGTGTAAGCTTTTTACCATTGCCAATATTAGACTGGAATTCATCTCTAGAGTGGACATAGTAGGCGATAAACGACTGCCTCAAAGCAGTTGTCATTGCATTTGAGACGTAAGCTGCACCATAGCGATTCCGTTACTCACCTCTCTAGATCATACAGTTGTTCGCATCGAAAGTCGTAGAGACAGGATTATACCACCTCCCCTGCTTGGACGGTCGTTTTAGAAGAGTGACTTTCTTTGAATCGCTATCTCAGCATCCGTAAGCTCTGATCGCAAGCATGTCTCGGTTATGGAAATGAGATCCCAAACGTTTGTTATCTGATGCAACTAAAGGTCTGCAAGTTTTTTTTAGAACGCCTTGGGCGTTGGTGCACATGCAGGATAGTTTGTCGGTTCTCAGCTCCACATCGAAAGAAATGTAGTCCGGATAAGAGATTCTGCCGACCGTTGTAAAATTGGCCGCTAGCCGTACTTTTTGTGATGTTATCGTTGAGGGTCTTGGAGTTGCTTTCGATGACACGGCACTTATCCCACCTAGCAACTCATTTTGCACAAAGTAGGAGTGTGGTTACAGGATTTCATAGGAGGGTCCTTACTTTTAATGGACAGTTTTCACTTCTGATTTGCACTAAAATTAGACCAGTGGTTGTCCCCCTTTGGGTTATTAATTGGTAGGCCGACCGGTGGCGAAGGGACAAGGCGTCTGCCTTGCAACCTGGACGTCACCGGTGATCTTCGCTGTATCCTTAGTCCACGCGCGACTGATGGTGGTTGCGTGGCGTACAACTGATGCCTTTTTTCCGACCTTGCTGTTACGACTTAAAGACATAATGGAGGTAACTAAGCGAAATTTTGCGCCTTTCAATATGACGTTTGTTCGCCTATCTGCGCGCCTTAACTGGGTTTAATTTTGCAAATCATAGCATAATTATGATCCTTGAATACTGTTCCACTTGTCCCTTCAGCTTATTCAAGTGTGGCGGCGCCTGCGGATTTTGTCTGAGTTATCCGACACGATGCCGGCCACGTGTGACGATATCGAAGTGTTAGCACACGAGCTTGGTGTGCATTTGCGTGCCAACTGTTTGCCGTTCTTACGTATTGCAGCATACGTGATGAATCAGATCACCGGAGTGGACGTTCCCGAGGGTATGCGATCCGTCCGCGGTAAAGATGAAGCTGCTACCACAGGTATCCCCGTTTTATTGCGGTATCAACTTCGAATCACAAGTACCACCAATATTTATCCACTGCACTGACCTTTCATCCCTTCAATACACCTTAGATCTCTCGATGGAGTACTCTTTGCTGCTGTCATACCTGGGCTTGCCTTCGGGACCTTCTGACTTGTTCGTCATCCTACCCGAAAAACAAGAAGAACACGTTTCCTCACACTCAATTCTACATATGTGGAGCCAGCAGGCAGTGGCGTCCTCGTCTGAGTCCCTTTGGATCGCTCGTTTGATCACCAGCTGGTGCTTGATTGGCCGTGGAGCACCGTCTCGTCAACTGTACAATCAACTATGCACCCGAATTGTCGCTCCCTCTTTCTCAAATCTGGTCACCCATTTCATGACAACCCATAGCACCGCATTGCTTCCTAGTCCGAACTTACGCCTACCCAAACTAGTACCCCTACCAAGAGAGTATACCACTCTATTGTCTCTGACTACCAACTATCAGTGAGTCCGGTTCCCCTACTACTTGAATATCAGTTAATTCGACCGAAACTGTCATTCATGTTAACCTTAACTTATCAAATAGATCGTTGTGGTTGTCAACTGTGTGCCCATTGAGCAAGCTAAGTAAAAGATAGTCACCATTCGAAGATGCACACCAGCGTATGTATTCATCTATACACTGCGCGAATGCCCCAGATTTGCGGCCTTCAGAACGTAAACGCTATATTGGTCTGTTTAATCATGTAAAGTCAATTCATTTCAGTGTAGCAACTATGATCCGGACACCGAAGTGCCGTGGACCCAGTTGCCACGATTCACGCCGTTAGTATGCTAGCAAATAATAAGTCGGGTTGAGTGCAAAATGAATACAAAGAAAACGGAATCAACAAGTGCGTTAGACTAATCGGGATGGAATGAAAATTAACACCGAGTTAGAAGAAACCTAATGCATTATCACCACTGACTGCGCGACTGTGATATGTCTGATACGCTTTTTAATCATTGGTGCGGACCATCCCGAGGCCACCATCCACGAAGACGGCATGCACCAGTCTGAGCAAGTCACTCAGTCAGTTAAATCATATTACGTCATCGACTGGCCACCTCGCGGTTTCGCCCAACTTGGTGCGGTCACGGTGTATAATGCACGCCGAGGAAGCCGGTTAACGGGAATACGGAGGACATGCTCTAGCCAACGTAAGCGGTTAGGATTCAGCAAACCCTCGGGTGAGGCACCAGCTGTTTTGTTTCCTAAAACCAACTGGCGGACCTCAGCATTGCTCACCCGGTGCTCCCACCTAACGTGAGCAGTGCTCTGCAAGCACCAACGGTGAAGCGCTTAATGTCTTCACTGGTCAGGTTTCTGATCCATAGAGCAACACTGGCTGATATCCTGCCGTCTCTTTAAATAGTTGATCCTCTGAATAGTCACCCTTGATGTGACAACCAAAAGTGGCACAACTACCTAGATAAATGAACCGACTCATCACATGCAGCCGCTGTTGAATGGTAGCTAGAACCGGTGGTGTGTCGGTCCAGTAGTGTGCTAATACTTTGCACTTTGAAGGTTCCAATCACATGCCGATGCATGCGGCGCGATGCATCAGTGCCGGGGTTAGACGCAGCCGGACAATTTCGATAAACAGCATGAAGCTGGTTAGGAGGGCAAAACGTTCCATAACGAGGAGATTTATGTGTTCTTCCTAACAGACGGACACACAGCGTCTCCCATGTTCGAACGAACCCACTTGCCCGCCGGCTGTGAGCTCCGGAACGAGGTGCATCCGTTACTGGAGACTCAGCTGGTAGACCTGTAAATGCTTAATACTCTGCTGTGGAAGCAAGTAGAAATTTTGATAGGTACAGTTCCATCGGAATCCGACAAAAATTTCATAAAATGTATGTGCTACCTTTTGACTCTTTAATCGTTCTTTAATTTTTGTGCAACATTCTAAAATGTCTGACTTACAGTACCACCGGGCTGATAAATGTGTGAAATTTAAATGCATTAACGTTTTGAACTGTTCTACAGATTTGGCTTCCACAACTTGTTCTGACAAAGAATTTCAAACATTTGCCACTTTCTGTTAGAAGCACAGACACCGCAGGCAAAAGACTGCGCAATCTATGTAACAACGCAGAAACAGAATTGTCGGCTGTTCGAAAAGCAGTTTGGAGCCGCGGCGAAGACGCTCCTAAGAAAATCTTTGCTTATGTAACATGGCACCTGAGGCAAACAGCTTACGTTGCAGTGTTAGAAGGCTCTGACGGATAGCTTCTAATTGCGTGCACTGAGCGCGCGTCCAAATTGGCGACACTTTTTATCCGTATTCGCAAACAACCGTGCGTCTGTGCCCAGTTTGACTTGTGCATCCCAAAACGAACTCCACAGCTTGGATTTAGAGGTAGAAGATATACGCAATCTACTCGCAAGTTTTGACGGTACAAGCCTCCCGTTCCTGGTGAACTCCATCCGTCGATTTTCACATCCCTATCGGCCATTATCTCGCCTTCCATGACTAATTTGTTCAACATGTCGCTCTCCGATGGTACATTTCCAGTCGTTCTACTAGAGATGCTTGTCAATGAAGCTGATTCCGAAAGGTCATGACCCAAGCAAGATGAACAGTTATTAATCAATTTGTTTGACTTCCATTTTAGCCAGTGCTCGAGAAGATCATGAAGAAGGGTCTGCTGCAGCTGGTGGAATCGAAAGATCTGGCGCCAGAACAGCACGATTTCATGGTAGACTACTCATGTCTCATTTCAAGACGGCAGGCTCAAGCAGGTGTGACACGGACTTCCGACGTCATCTTAGGTGATCCAGCTAGCGGCATTGCTGCAGCAGGCTTGCTGAAATGCTATTCCAAATGTTCGGCCCAACAAGTTAGTCGACGCAACTGAGAATGTCTCAATAGTTCCTCTTTCTTTGTTAGTCTCAACAAATGATGGCTTTTTCGGAGCCATATCTCGAAATTTCCAAAGTAGCACTCGGCTGTTTTTACCAACAATGGCCTCAATGTCACGGACTTTTGTTACACTTCAACACTAACACTCAATTCGAAGATTCATAGTCAGTTATCGTTTCAGGGCGTTGCGAGTATACTGAAACTCAGCTAAGCGGGAGCTGTTCGCATACTTCGATCAAATTGCTCGATGCCTCGGAGGTCCAATCACTTTGTAAACCTCTCATGTTGGGCCTACGGCAGGTGTCAAAAACATTCTCCATAGCAAACTTGAGACGATACTAGTTAGTGTTCGGTTCACCAACCTCATTCATCACTGACAATGGGTAGGCCAGTTTGTCATGATCTTGTTGAAACACAGTCTGCGAGTTCACATTGGGCGTTAGACGCTTTTTCGAAGGAGAAATGAGCATCATGCGTGCGCGCATTAAAGTATGATGGGAATCCAAGAACGCAATCCAAATTGACCGTCAGTCTTGGACTGGTGTACGCCATCTGTGGCTAATGGCTGCATGGTCAATTTGTGTCCAGGTCATTGAGGAATTCGGTGAGCGCCAGGTGACACGATGTGAGCGTTTGTGCTGGAACACAGTGCTGCTACTGTGAAGTTTATGGTCGCCGCAAGGTTGAAGGAATCAATCTCCGTTGTCTGTTCGGCGTGCATGAATCACAAAGCGGTATCCCAAGTGTTATTCGAGGTCTGGAATGCGACCCACTTGAGCATCCGTGCTCCGAGTAGCATTTAAGATATCAGATTTTTCACCATAAGCAGAAGAGATGAGAACTGTTGATAGGAATCGTCTTTGATACCCTCCGAAATGCAGTTAGTCAGAATCGATGAAAAGCACCTTGTCTTTAGACGGTGCTTATTAACCCCAATAGAGGTTCAAAATTGAACCACACATGAAGATGTTCACTCTTATCCGGTATGTTTGTTGATGGCAATATTAACACTGTATATCCCTTGACTTAATACTGCCAGAGTCGCGAAGAACGTAGTCATAGTCAACAGATTCGGAACCAGGGAGTCGAAGACTCGTCACCACGCTGTTATGTTGTAAGCGTGTTTCGGAGACACAGCACACATCAAACCCAAGAGTGCGAGCTAGTACTGCCTGCTGGCGGATCTGACCTAGTGTGCGGACATTAAAATAACGAGTGTGAGATGAAACTATGTTTGATGGACAAGCAAAATGTATCGATAGCAGCAGCTGCGATGTCAGTGGCGGTCTCTTGCTCAGTGGACGTGTAAGAGAGTTGAGAGGGAAGAAAATAAGAATAAGAAGATGGTATCCTGTCGACGGGGTCGAGAAGGTAAATGTTACTTTCTGGCTGACCATTCTGATAGATGGATTTTGTTCGAGGTCTGTTGCGTCGAGCCTTTGACTCGTCAATCCGACTCATAAGGCAGTGGGCTACATGGAGGTTCGCTTGAGGACTCCATTCACTGCTTACACAGTTCGGTTGCGGTAGCATGACCACAATGTGGTCTGAACATCGTCCAGTCGCCTCAATCCTCATTTCTCGCTAACGAATTGTTGATTTTCTGCTTGGAATGCAATGAATCTAATTTGGTTTACAAAACTTCCAGTCTGGTTTTCAAAACGTCCTTTTTTTCGCAAGAGATCCAATTTCGTTTGCAGAATTTCCAATTTAATGTGAACATGATACATGTTCGTATACATGACGTATATTAACGATATTACACACCCCCATAAGCTCGAACGACCTTCTTTATGCCGATGACATCAAGGTGTGGAGGGCGATCAATACACCAGATGATATCACAGTACTTCAAGCTGATTTGGATATGCATGCTCAATCCAGAATCGGCCTCCATTCAATGTAGACAATTGTAGATTGCCGCAGCTACGGCACAAGTTGGCGTACTCCTACCAACTCGGCAACCAAGAGCTTCAAACGTCTTATGGCGAAAAAGATCTGTGAGTTTTGGTCCAGGTCGACCTTGGACGTTCGAAGCAGGCTGAAACGGCGTCAAGAAGAGTCATCCAACACGTGGGCCTCCTGAAGCGTGGATTCAGACGATTTGACTCTACAATTTTCCCACAACTTCTCGGCTCATACATACGTCCACATGTGGAATACACAATACAGGTCTGACTGCCATTGCTGAGATTTCACAGTCTTGGAGATCTCCAACGCCGGGCAACCAAAATGTCAAGGGTCCGTGTAATTTGCCGTATAAACAAGGGCTACAAGTGCTCGGGGTATTCAGTGGACATCATAGGCGATTGCGCGGACATTTTCATGTGCCAGATTTTGGGAGATGCCAACCCCACGTGCCGCCATTTGCTGGAGCTCAGTCACAACAGCAATTTGAGAGGTCACCGTCTCAACCTGGCAGAGTGGCACAGTCGTTTGGATTGAAGTCGGAATTGTTTTCTCGTACGCATTTGAGAAGGGTGGAATGCCCTACTGGAATCTGACATCTATGCTTCCACGCTGGCAGGATTCAAAGCCCGAGTTGACCGTGCACTTATTTCGCTGCATCATCTTACATGACCCATTCCCCCTAGCTAAACGAGTGTCTGCAAGAGATTTCATCAGCAGTCCCAGATTTCATTCCACTTTTCACCTCTTGTATGTGTACACCAGGAGGTGACAGGATTTTTACCAACATCCCATTTGCTGTCATTCTTTATGGTATTACTTCAGTGAGTTCCCAGGTGTAAACACAATTTCGCTAACAATTTTTTTTATATTTTGTAGCTTCACCATAACCATCCTAAGGGACCTGTTAAGCATTACCTATTTTACTCGTATCAAACCATTGTTTCATTATTCCATGTATTGAGGTGGCAGTTTTTGACTTTTAGGCAGCTAGCCAAAATTCCCAACAAGCGCAGCCGGACAGCGGGTATTAATCAGCAAACATCTAAAATGCGAGAAAATTAGCACGCAGGCACACGTACAGGCCAACTGTGGCACTGATGTAGCGCACGTGACATCTCGACCGTATCATTGGCCTGTCTTAGTAAATGGAGTCGGAGGAAGCGCACTTAATAAGCGCTAATGTTCGCTTTTTGGACCTAATCGTTGCTTCTCCGATATTTGCCTCGTTGATGACCTAAAAGATCGGCTTGGCTGAGGCACACACGACCGCATGTGCTATAGCACCATGCGCTTGATATCCATTGGCTAAATTCTGTTGGCGTTCGTCGCTTCCGCAATCTGCTTTTCTTTTCCGGATGCAACAAGACCTTCATCTAAGCAACGACATTCTTGATATGGTCGTGTCATTGCCTTGCCATTGCTTCCTAACATCCAAAGTCTACATTAGTTCGTGACAAACTCACCTTGATGATGTCCTGGTAATGTAGCTTCGTTTTGTCCACCTTTCGCCTCCCTGTACTAAGCTTGTCATACAATAAGTGCGTCAGTATTATAGTCGAATCCATACCACCGATATGTCCGAGTCGCATCAAATGTGGCAGCAGTATGCAGTCCATTCCATACATTCCACTTCGACGGAGCACTTTCGTGTCAAAAACTCTGCCACACAAACGGATGCGCAGAATCCGGCACAAGCACTGTTGATGAAAGTGCTCTAGTTATCGGATTTTCTTCTGGTACAGTGCCCATATTTCGCCGCCGTAAAGAAGAATCGGCCTCACTGTCAGCTTGGTCCCAACGATCAACTGGTGATTTTTACAAGCTCGATATTCCAGCTAGCCAAATGCTGCTTTGCCTTCCATAAGCAGTTACTCAGATCGTTGATGATCTGCGGGTCCGTTAAGAGTATGATCCCTGAGGTAGCGGAATTTTATTGATTTGTCAGCAGCCCACGGAATCTATTCCTGATGATGGCTGAAAAAGACAACCAACCAGTCTTACTTGTATTGTCCGAACGATGCCGCCGCCGAGCGGTCATCATACATTGAAAATCACCCTCGCCCTTTGCACACAACGCCCTGTCGTGTGCAAACAGCAGCATCCGGCTAGTTGTCTCACGCACTCTGGTCCTGGCCTCAAAACGTTGGATATTTAGCAACTCACCATCAATGCGTTGTTCGAGACACAAGCATTGTAAACACAGACATCATGGGGTTGAGTGCTTTGTCGGAATTTAGTGCTCGTGAGAAACAAATTGCTATCCTCACACGAGTGTAAAGCCATACTTTCATTTTTGGACGATTTCCAAGCTTGAGCGTTCACATCACTAGCCATCATTACAACATCCATTTTCTGTGAGAAATGATCTCCTTCGGATATGTGCTAGACGTAATCTTCGGCCTAGTCGGCGCTGTAGTCTATTAAAGCGTGTCATACTATGCACGTGGAGAACTGTCACCATGGTTTTGCAAGCAGTAACGGGCTCGTCGTCGAAACGACGTCATGACAGCAGAACACGCAGAAACGCACTGTTTATTATGACAAAGGTCATGTAAAAAAAGAAAAGAGACATAAGCAGCATGCCGTCATCACCATCATTATACACGTTAGCTGCAAAGTGGAAAAAACCTTAGCTATTGTGCCGCAATACAAAAGAAGAAAAGATACACGGGACAGAGGCACGCCGGCTGAGTCACCGGTAGCAGGTGGACATCGTTTCGGAGAGCTAACAGCTGGCTATTGTGCTGCGAAAAAGGAGTTACATTATGCCTAATAAATGAGATCGTGATTGGAGGAGTAGACTTAGCGGGAGGGACAAAGGAACTCGCAATACACACGCCATTGAGGTCGGTTCCTAGCCATATCAACAACTGTATCCATCCAAACGTGTTAATCGCCCTTCGGTCCCCAACCAGGGAGTCGAGAAGCTCCAACCGAGGCAAACTTCGAAGGGCCTTCATTCCTCTTGACCAAGTCATCGCTTGGCCACCCCTCTTCTTCTTCCATCTGCACCCCGGGCGCGCAAACAACCCACGTCGCGGGAGTCGGTGGGTTGGCATGCGCAACACGTGGCCCAGGCATGGTAGTCTGTTGCGTGAAATAATGGTGCTGAGCGGTTCATTTCCTTTTCCTGTGCCATAAACAAGGCGTCGAACACGCTCGTTGCTCACACGGTGTTCCCACCAGATATGACCCAAACTGCGAAGGCACCGGTGGTCGAATGTAACTATCTTCTTTATGCCGGCTGATCTAATGGGTCAGGTTTCACAACCATACAGTAGGGTCGAAAGTACTGCCGCATTGTACACTCTACCCTTCAGGGCGAGAGTGATGTCGAGCCGGCGAATGTTAGCAAAAGCGCCTCGTGTTTTTGCTATACGGTTTGTGACCTGATCTCCAATTCCAGCGGTGGTTATACAACTACCTAGAACTTAGGTAGTTGGATTTTTAAACGACTTGCAGCTGATCCCCACCAAGGGTCAGTACAGGAGGCGGTCCCTGCCAATCTTGAAGGAGAGTTTTGCACTTTGAGGGCGAAAAGCATAGCCCGAAACGGTTGACAGCCAGTATTAATCTGTTCAATGCCGCTTAGCACGTTTGGAAGCTATCACGGATGAGGGCAATATCGTCAGCATACTCCAAGTCAAGAAGTCATTCATCTGGGAGCAACTCCACTCCTTCTAAATCGTGTCCTGTGAACGCAGCAGCATACCGTACCGATGTTTCGCAGTCACGCAAACATCACCAACTGCGCGTGTGCTAAGGAAGCTGCGAGGGTCACGCGGTCCCCTCCACAGATTCGAACTGGTGACTTCCGACTTTCAAGGCAGACTCCTTGTCCTTTCGGCCACCCGCCGATACGGAGACCATGTACATGTAGTTGAGAGCGATTTGACAATGGGTGGGAGAGACATTCACGCACGCACTTATGGGTGCTTGAGTGTAACGATGACGAATAGAGACACTTATTTTCCCCATGCTATTTTAAAGCTTTGAACGGGCCAGCTACTCGAAACGCACTTCCGGCTGCTGACTAGGATCTAGTCGACCAAAGGAGCTTCAGCACGGGGGCTCAGACCAATGCCCATACAGGCTTGACCGGCCTCATCGTTACCGGAAAGACGAATTGAGAGGATACTGCTAGTGTCACACAGAGGCGATCGCGGGAAGTCATGCAGACGAGCTCGGATAAGTAGCAGATATCGATGGAACACTACATCTGCCTGTTAGTTAATCCTTGAGCTATCGATTGGTGTGAAATTCGATTACTTAAAGCATACTTGGATCGTTCACTCAGGTCGGTACTGTTTCCAATCATGATTCGCAAACCGGCACAGCTTACCCGGACCTCGTCGGGCCTTTGATATCTTGAAGTCTGCATTTATGTGCATCTGCCGAACTCTTCATGTAACACTACGGTATATTTCTTGTATACACTCGATGATCATGACTTCCGGTGTTTTTGGTGCGTGAAACTGAGCACTTGCACAAATCTGCCTTATAGGAATATCCATGAATTTCATATCGTTTACTTATAACGGTACTGGTTCACTATCTTGGTTATGCGGTCTGTTTTCATTTCTATCTTTGACTACAACGCTTTTTACTTGCCTCTTTAATGCTTGATCCACTCGTTATTCTATATGTGCATGCGTGCTTCGGCAGGCTCCTGTCTAGTCTTATGCTGCTTCCTACTGGATAAGTCACACCAACCTATTCACATTTTGGACAGTGCTTTGCAGATTATTCATTGCGATTTCCCTGTACCTAAATAGTCTCCCACAAATTCGAGTCTAGTTGTGGAGTGCAGTCTTTTTGAGGCAGATAACACCCTATATTCATTCATTAGGCGACTGCTGCATCCTAATGGAACTCGTCAGCTATGTGCGTCCTCCTACTTAATCAGAGACCGAATCCTTTACCTTTTTACGCCATCAGCTTATACCATTATTTCATGGGTGACGGACCAACGTGCTTTACAGGCGAACTGCATGTGGTGTAACTCTTACTCCACTGACGTGCATAGGACGGAGTTGACCCCATTGCTACGGTTTCTTGTACAGTAGCTGTGTACGATATAGCTTTTATAAGCATTTAGCACATATAGAAGTATTCTTCTCCCCTCTCCACAGCTGTCTTGGTGGACATGTGCATAGTGACCCCAGCGTTTGTCTGATATGTGGTCATCTCGCGTGCTTGGTCTGCTACGCCTGCCGCCAAGTGGAACCGGGCGACACCAACGCTCCGCTCAGCAGCACCTCTCGGCGCGAACCCGTTGTCTACGACATGCAGGCTCACTCCCGTCGCTGTCACTCTGGTTACAGCTTGGTCCTGCAGTTGCACGCCTGTCGTGTGTTTCTGCTTTCGGATGACGCACGACGCTTTTCCGAACTATCTGTTCCCTATCGTGACGTTTATGGTGAGATGGACGTTGGCCTCCTGTAAGTCAATAATGATTTCAGCCGTTATCTCATCATGTTCGTAAGTTCGATCTTTAAACTTGCGCTCACTTTTCTTTGTAGTCGTGGAAATCCTCTGTTCCTAGTCGATTCGGAATACAAACGGCTAAACCGTCTATGGTTAAACCATCAGTCTGCCTCCAGCACATCGATTGATTTGCTTACCCCACCCAATTTGGAACTGGGCTTACTCTAGCCCTTTGGCGACACAAACAATCCCAAGACCTTCGGTGGAATCTTGTCCATCCGAGCTCTGGACTATGATGGCATGCTATTTTTCCATGTCACTTACCTGTACCTGTTGCATCCGACTCATCAGTCCTACAGATCCTTGCTTCGTCGCATATCTTTATCTCGATTTCAACCCCTGTGATCCGCTTTCCCATTACTTCCTCCGTACACATCGAACTGTTGCCCATTTTGAACTGTCTATCACTTCATTTACATATCGTGTTTTTCTTAACTCTCCATTCTCTCCCTCCGTCTTTCTTCATTCTTTTTGCTCCTTCCACTTTTCGTCCCCTCCGTTTGGCTCTGTTTGCTAGAGCTAACTTTGAATTATGTGTCAATACTTGTGAATGCGTCATGCATACACATACAACCGACGGCACGACCGTTTCTTGTCTGTTTCGTCAATTTTCGCGTCTTTGCTCATCTGTTCCCAGTTTGTTCTCTGATGATCAAACGAATGCTAACCGTAATTCGATCCTTAGATTGTGTTGTGGTCTAACCGTTGGTGAACATTCGTCTCTGCCTTCTGACACCAACACTTAACCATGTCACAATAGTTGTCAGCCTCGCCAACGTTTAGACTGCTATCTTTTCTACTGGGTCACCGAGCCTTGGGAATGCATGTTGTGACTGAAATATCCTCTTCTCGTTTATGTCCGTCTACAATTTTGATTTACTCTTGGTCGTTTTTCTGCAAACTAGCTAAGTCCGATTCATGTAATTTTTTGACTTGCTTTTCATCCATCACCTTTCGCAGTATCCTTATCCTTCGCCTTAATCCCTATTCTCCGAAAATTTTGAGCTTTGGACAGATGGGCGCATTTTATCATGCAATCACTCCCAACGGCCACCACTGTTGAAACCCGCCAACCTTTCTGCACTTCTGGCAATCCCATATTCAACAGTCTACTCGTCTGCCTCATTTTTCACTTACTGTGGCATTATTTCCACACAAACCTTTTTGTGTCTATCCAACATTGTGATTACGTTTCCTTCTGCATACATTTGTTGGCGTTCTTCAAACCAACTCCTTGTTGCTGGTTCCCATTCAGTGCAGTCCATTCTTGACTCCAGTTTTCTCTGGATTTACACGTGCTGCAATTTCCTTTGATCATTAAGTACAGCCTATCACACTCGTTGCGTTTTACTGTGCAAGTCTTACACTCCTGTCTATTCTCATTTCACTTATGAACATTGGCGTCCCGCTTAGATTTTTGGAAATTTGCATCTAATATAACTTGGGATAGCCAAAATATCTATGAAATCATCCTACGCTGCCCCAATCGGCGATACTTCTCGAGTGGTTACACTGGCCCCGTCAGCTGCATGCTTTTCACCACCTTTTAAGTCCAAGTTTGTTAGTAGAACATCTTGTAAACACCAATCACATGATATACTCTACTTCATGATTATTGGCGCTGATTTTTGTCACGCTGATCCCAAGGCGTCAACAGCACTGGCCTTCAACAAACTCACCCCAAAGTCACATGAAACCGGTTGGAGCCCAGGTGCTGTTTCGTGGCTTGATCTTTCGGATATAAGGATGTAATTCACCTATATATGTCTAACAGTGACGTGTGTCACGGACGCAACACTTAGTCCTTGTTGTTTCACTGGTGATGCGATCGATTTCCCTAATTATCTGACATTTTTCAAATGCATACGCTGCACCATTTTCAGGACCAAATGCGAAAGAATATCTGTTTATCCGTACGTTTTCCAGCACCACCTTTGCCAACAGTGCCGCCTTGTGCATAATGTTCCGATAAACTAACCCGCTGCGGCCGGTATGAGTGTGCCTCATCCTTCCAATGTATCCGACCCTACAACTGATAATCCACGTTTCATCCACCCACTCCCCGAACACATGATCAAGACGCATAGCGGACTGGTAAGTCTGAAATTGATTTGTTACCAAACTTTTTACAGCTACTTTTCCCTGGTATATCTTTTCCCATTCCCTCAGTTGCCTATGGAAAGTTTCGGCAGTTGGGTGACAGTCTTACATTCCTGTGACTGGTTAGCAGTGCAAACATTTTTGTATCCTTCGGAACCAATGAGCTTCCAACGAATCCCATTATGACTAAACGGTTTTGATCTGTTATAGTTCTTCACCGTAAATTCCATGTTCTGTACCACGTCGCGTGCAACCCGCTGAATGAAACATTTCTTAGGCTAACGTTCACTGTACCATCCTTTGCCATAGAGTACGTGACAACATAAACTACTTGGTTGATCTATAAGACTGCTTCAGATGCCAGTCATATGTCAATTCGCACTTGCATGGCGCATACCCTCCCGGTTTAGCGATTAGTCCAATATTATGGTCTCTTACTTCATGTCTAAAATAATAATCCTCTAGGGGACACTTGCAGCTTGGATTGGAACGTCCACTAACGCCGATGGACGAGGAGAATCCTCGTACCATCGATTGCACTCACCACCATTTCACACTGAAGAAGGCGTTGGAAGTTGCCAATCATTTTAGTTAGGTGCTTTAGAACCAGCTATGCGGGGAACTGGAGCTGGACGTAGTTGCTTCCCTCTGGGATACATTAAATTGCCACGGGTTTTACTTTCCTTGTATCTCAGGGCCGACCATAACAAACAGGTCACTTTGGCCGCAGCATCCCTCCTCAAATTGGCCTCCCGATTTTGCATTATTCTACATGCGCTTCTTCACATTTCTCTTTTGTATGTAACTAGATTAGTTTGCCAGATGTGATTCGCACCAGAGTTCATTTTGATCTGCTCTGATTGCCCATATTAGGATATTACTTTAGTCTACGGCGTTTTATCATGCGTTCCATAGAGATTTATTATCTACATTATCGGCCAACCACTTGTTACTCTAAACAATGTAGTTGAGTCACTTCAGAATCAGGTGCCTCGAGAAAACTAACGTGGACGATTGGTTTTAGCGTAAATGTATTCCACTTATTTGTCCCTGTGTGCTGTTTTCTCAACGACTTGTTGTCTGCCTTATTTCATCCAGAGCTGTGCATCCACTGAAGATGGTGCGAAGCCAAAAATGGAACCCGTAAGGTCAAAGTCCAGTTTTCGACTGCCTGGCACTAAGCAACACAGGAAAGGCCGCAAATCAAAAGTTTCCCATGTTACGGAAACCGATCAGACAGCTGCTACCCGAGACGACGGATATAACAAGCAACTGACTGATTATGGTGTGCATTTTTACCCATGGACGAAAACCAGTAATGTCAGAAAAGCGCCAAATGGCATGCCTAAAGAGCCCTCAGGCCAAGGAGTTCTCGGGAAAGACGCGCGAAAGTCTCGTCGCCGCATTAAATATGAGTTTAAGATGAGCGCACCCACCGCCTATAGTAGAAACACATGCTCATCCGCCAAGGTCAGCGATGTTGTTCTTCAGACTTTATTTTGTATTGTGTCATTATTTCTGTTGTTATTCATTTCTAAAAGACCACCAACCGCCTTAGACGCACCGTTTTCATAAAAAAAACTTCATTTTGATATCCAGGTTTATCTTGTTGCATATGGGAGCTAGTCTTAAAGTCTATGGCTGGTCAATTAGGATACTTCACGGTTCATCGCTATCCTAAAGTAAGTGTATCTGAGAGTTCCAACTTGTTAGCCGGCTCTTCACATTGAAAGTTATTGTCCTTCGAAAATGAACATTTTTGGACCTGGATTATCTCAGTACCTTCTCTTCTAAATAAACTTAAGATAGAAGTTCATCACATCTAGACTACGTCATACAGCCATCACACGTCCGGAAAAGCACTATACGGCCGTTTCATCCTTTCGGAAATCGTCAGCAGTGCGCATTTCTGACAATGCCATGAACCTTGATGCAACCTAAGGTATTGCAGCTCTATCATGTTTCAGAATCTGTCTACTCTTCTGCCAAGAGTACGGCAGTAAGCTGTAAAGGTGGCTATTACCATTGTCACTACCGATGCAAACATGTTTACAAATTTAGTGATAGAGAGATTTGAATGGTATAGGTAGAAATTAGTCACATCTAGACTCACTTAGACAGCCACTACACGCCTGGAAAAGCACTGTATGGCCGTCCCATCGTCAGCAGCGCGTATCCAATCTGACCATTGTGGAACTGGAACCTGCAACTCGATTATTGTCAGTCTGTGGTTGCGAACACTGAGCTACAGGAGACGGCAACGACCGTCGTGACTAAGTTACTAGATGTGATATTGCGCCGCTGACTATCTGCTGATTTGCACGTTGCTGCCGTGCAGAGGACCAGGAAGTCCTCTCACCAAGCGAGGAACTTAGACCGCCAACTAACTCATGGCATTAGAAGCAATTTGGTCTGCTTATTGATTACATAGGAAGAGTGAGGGGTTGAACGGTATAAGTAGAAATTCATACAGATGTTATGAATTTCTACCCAGTAACATGCAAGCCAGTGGATAGTGGGCGGCGCTATATCAAGACGGTCGTTACCGTCTACCGTAGCTCAGTGGTCCCAACCACATACTAGCAACAGTTGAGTTGCGGGTTCAAGCTCCACAGGGGTCGGATGGAATGCGCACTGCCGACGATTCCCTAAAGAATGAAACGGCCGTATCGTGCTTTTCCGGATGTGCGATGGCTGGATGACTGAGTCTAGATGTGATGCATTCTACCTATACCATTCAACTCCCACTTTTGTATATAAAGTTTATTCAATCGGATACTAGTTGCTTGATTCCCCCGAATTCATTTTCTTTCATCTACAACCTTCCTCCGGCATACACCGAAACCTACACGACTCTCGTTAAGTGCTAGTCTTCATTTTTTTCTTGAACCTCTCAGCTACTTCGTTCACATGTTTGTAGCCCGTTTTCGGCGTCTCACTTGAGCTGGCCCTTACGAGAGATCCGAGTCACGACGGTGTCCCACTACCAGCTTTCTTTCGGCATTGTATCGACTACATCGAGGAATATGGATTGGGTTCGGAAGGGATATATCGAGTAAGTGGACGTCTCAATTTCATCACGCTACTCAGATCTTATCTTTGTATAATCACCATGCGTAGTATAATACATCCCTCATGAACAGTCATCGGCCACAAATATTCTGGGATTTATTGTCAAAATTTAGGATCCTTTTGAGGACAGCTATTCAAACTATAAAATACGAGCATTGCTGTTGTGTGTCCGCACTAACATATTTAGTCGAAGCACGGCGTTTACAAACTTTTACCTTCTACTTTCGGTATACTCCTAGAATAGTCCTTGTAATCACTGTCGATATGGAGGAAACCATTGTGACTGCTTTTGAATATTCCGGTCTTTATTTTCATCATATGTGTCTGAGCCATAGAGGCAATTCTGTTGCATGCTTCCTCGCCAAAATTGGGTCACGCCAAATGCTAAAGATAACAAGCTTGCTTTGTAATCTGACGGCTCAGGTTTGAGCCTGCGTAAGGACAGAGCGACCCTCGCAGTATCCTTAGTCCACGTGCAACTGGTGGTGGTTACGCGGCAGCAAAGCGTCGGGATCGTGTATCGGCGTACTGCTCATGCCTTTCTCTCATAGAGCCAAACCTGCATTTCTATCCTAGATGTAGTGCCCGTTGTATACCATTTCACTGCTGACCTTCATTTCTCCGATGACACAGACCCACAGGAACTGTGGATCAAATGTGGAGGCCACGTCTTCTAACTTAGTCATGTTTGACACATTTGAAAAAATACTATCACAGGGCCACGTTTCCCCAGTTCCTTCAATTTTGTTTTTTAATCAAGTCATTAGAGGGACTCAATCTCTAGAGTGTACTGTCTCGTACAACCATAATTATACTCTGCATGTATTTTTGTGATCATCCTGCTTCACTGAGCGTACCATAATTGAAAGACAATTTGTGCATTCCGCACCAAGAAAACACCGTCCGCGTTAGCAAGCCAATAAATGACACTCAGCTCCGCCACAACATTGCATTGTGCGACAGATTTCGTGTCTGAACAACGGGTGCTTTGAAACGAGTCCCTAGTAACCGCCGGTTTTGTTTGCGTCCACCTGCGAGGTAACAAGCTCCATCGTCCTCGTTTAAAAATGCCTCTCACCGGATTGACATCGGCGACTGGAAGATCTCAACCGACATTCTCACGGCGATTGCCTTGTTCCTTACTCTCATTACTCTCGATTCCAGATTAACCGGTTGCAATCGCACTAGTCACCTAGGTTGTTTGTTCCGTTACTTCGTGACTGGTTCGCTCATTTTTACGCTCTTCTTATAGGATGTTACGAATAAGTCTGTATTTTACATTACTCCAATCTAACAGGTTCCAGGTGTGAATTCTCAGGTACAATCCTTGCTAGCTGCTATAGATAATGGTGAGGAATTTCCCTTCATCAATCCAACATCGGCGACCTTCTATCAACAGCATCAACAGACACACGGATTGGCAAATGCTCGTGCTACTTCCGGTCCCTTCACTTTGTCTGGCCGCGACTCGATTGCACGCCACAAGCTGCTGCACACAGGTACCTCGGTGCTTTCATCTCGTTTGTTCGTTTCCATTGACTTTGTCACTGCTCACAGCCGTTTTGGTAAATCTCTCTTTGGAGTTCATACTCTCAGCTCCTAAACTTCTTTTACAGCCTGCCCCATACTGCACATCGGCCCACTCAGTTCTGATATCACGCCTCTGGATAAGTGAATGCGTCACAGACAGCTTCACTGTTCCTTTCGATGCTACACATTACTAGCGTTCGTAAAACTACATGAAATCGAACGCAGCTACGAGTAAACAAGTTGGAAAGCTGAAATGAGCTAATTTCGCCAATTTTTGCTTCGTATCATCCCATACTCTGGAATATTCCATACTTAACCGCATGGTGATCGCGGAACCTGTATCGCTTAGGATTTCTCCGGTAATCACGGAGGTGGCTCCGATGTACACATCCCTGCCTTTTGTTTAAGCGGACTGGACTTATTGGTCTGGTAGATTCAATATATTACGGATTATCCGGGTTGAGCACCGTTTCTTTGGACGCTTTTACGCCTCTATCCGTGAGAATCCTGCACTAGTGTGGTGGGCATCGCATCTTGAAGTCGATACGGGATATGTGCCCTTTGGGTAGAAGCATATTGATGACCACTGGGTAGTGATATATATATATATATATATATATATATATATATATATATAATCACAATCTATGATATCGATATTGTGTTATTGAGATCATGGCGAAATAGGAAAACAAGACCGAAATCAGAAGAATAAAAGGGACAACATTTTTGTCCAGTTGTGTTAGGGGCGGAGATCGCCGCAACACGCAGAGCTACACGTCCACAACTGACGTCGATCTTGAGCCATGATTTCCAGGGTCTTGAATCGTTACACTCTGTGTCTCTGCGACCCCGACCAAGGGAGTTGAAAACAACCGACCGAGACCAAATGTTTTGTCATCTTTTTCGTGCCGCTTCTCCAAGTTGAAGGTTATTCACCGCGCCGTCTCCTCCAGTCCTGTCCAGCAACCGCTAGCAACATCCGACGTGGAAGCAGATAAATGGGCATGCACAATACGTGTCCAGGCCACCGCAGCTGACGCGGTCGGACGAGCTCCTCGAGCGTATGGCTGTTTCCACCCAAGACATGCTGTCGAACTTTCACATTGGTTGCGTGGTGCAGCCACGACACACGGGCAATGGACCGCAAGAAACGGTGCTCTAAGACAGACAGTCGGCGCAAGTCATCAGTGCGAATGGGACAGGTCTCGCAACCGTACAGGGAAGACAGTCACACAATAAACCCGCCCTCTGGTGGAGAGACGGATGTCATGGCAACGCCACAGGCGCCTCAGTCTGCAGAAATCGAGACGGGCTCTTGAGATACGCATCGAAATCTCGTCTTTAACAGCTCTACCGGCAATAATGCAGCTTCTCAGGTAGATATAACTTTCCAGCACTCCCGGTGCCTCAACACCAAGTGTGAGTGCAAGTGCAGCTGGGAAGTAATCCTTATGTATTACACTCAAGTTCGTTTCCATCTTCGCTACTTAACCTGTTTGCTCTACCTTTCGTTACATCGCAACTGTAACTGCCTCCAGAAATCTTACGCTTCAGGTGCTTGTGTATGGCCTTTCGGTTTAACATAGAACAAATTCGTAAGCAGCACCTCTGCGATTGCTTTTTGACCGCTTATTATCCTCCTAATGCCACTGTGATGCCAAGATATTTCCTCAGTCGATTCTTCTGTTCCCATCAGGGCATTGTTGCCTTCTTTTTCCAGCATTTTTGTCGGTTTGTGTGTGCTGTAACATTCACTATCATCTTTTTTCATTTTTATAGGTGCATCTGACCCAAAGAACTTAGCTTCCGCACAGCGTACACGTCTTGGGACAGATAGCCGGTCAGGCTCAGCCGCAGTGGCTCTCACTTGTCCTCACAGACCACACGACCCCGCTGTAGTTGCGAGTGTTGTGAAATATTTCCTGAGGAACCTACCGGAACCCATACTCACCACGCGCCTTCTAGATTCGATCGAATCTGTTCCTACAGACTCCTCTCAGGCATACCATACAATAGCCAAGTTAGTCCATAGCGAGTTGCCGCAGTCGCATCGCTTCCTTCTGGCGTGGATGTTGCAACACATCACCCACATTATGGATCGCTCTGGAGAAAATCGGATGACGCTGGATAATATTATCGTTGTTTTGTCACCGTGCTTGAGAATAAGTCATCGATTGCTTGCGGTACTACTCCGTCCTGCACCAAGCGGTGAGTACTTTCGGTGATCACCTCTACCGGTTTCTGTCCCCTGTATTCACAGTTCGAAATAGGCCCCGCACTACTTTTAACTTCAAGATGACAAGAGTGTTGGTAGATTTCAACAATTAACCATTGCTGTGCTTGTGTTAGTATCACTTGAAGTGTTGAAATGAAACTCTGACCACTTGCTTTTGATTAGAAGAGTTCTGGTGAAGGATATTATGTCCATATGAAACAGCATGTTTTCGACTCACCCTAGTATGGCAGTGTGTTTGTTTACACTGGTAATATTGACGTCTTTGCCTGATCGAGCAAACTTGATGTCCTGAGTACCAGTTAGGTGGTTTACTACTAGAACGTACCTATATCTCGTTGGAGCGTTGTGTGCTATTCCAACTCATGAAAGCCGGTAGCCAGCTCATGAGAAGGAACGCTTCTAATTGCATATCAGATGTCTGCATCATTTGTAAAGTCTTCTCATGCAGGTTTTCGAAATGGGATTCAATTTCCAGTTTGTTGTTCTATAGGGACCACAGAATAGAGTGCATAAAATGGTAAGATCAGGCCCACTTTCGAACAGCACCTGCTTTCTGCTCGCTCTACATCTTAGTCATTGAGCTACATAAGTTTGCATCATACTAATACACTCGATAGGTTGTTTCATTAAGTCACTCATACACAGGCTGATCAGCGCATTGTCCCATAAGGTTAGGGCAGATTTAATCTCCTTGACACATGTAGCTAAGCACGAGTCGCTTTTAGCATGTGTAGGCCCTTCAGGAGCGCCTTATTCAGCAGTTCCACGCTGGGCCTCCTGGAATCAACCGGATGAAGGCGCTTGCCCGCATTTATATATACTGGCCCTTCATGGACAAACAGCTAGAAGAAATAGCTAAACACTGCCAAAAGTGCGCCAATGTCTTAAAATTACCAAAAAATGCAGAACTCTGTTCATGGCCGAAAGCTACTAAACCATGGTTCCGCATCCATGTCGACTTCGCAGGACCGATCAGTGGCAGAAGTTTCCTCATTGTGATCGACTCATACAGCAAGTGACCTGATGTATTTCTCATGGAAAGCACAACCACCAATGCCACTGTATTAAGACTGCGCCAAACCTTCAGCAGATTCGGCTGTCTAGAGACAATTGTAACTGCCAATGGCACACAGTTCACTTCGGCAACTTTTACGGAGTTTTGTAAGCAATGTTCTGTCCAGCACGTTCGCTTGCCGCCATTTCACTTACAGTCGAATGGCCATGCAGAAAGGTTTGTCCATACGTTCAAGCGAGAGCTCCACAAATCAAAAGGGGAGGGACGTATAGAGGATGTGGTCGATCAGTTCCTTTTCCTTTACCGATCAACACCGAATCCACAAGCGCCGGACGGAGTTTCTCCAGCACAGACTTTGATGAACCGGAAGCTCCGCATGCCTTTCGACGCCGTCCGCAGACCCTCAGAATCCTTTGTTGGTGAAAGAAACCGCAGAATGGAACAGGATTTTAACCGACGGCGTGGAGCAAGAAACAATCGTTTACACTTGGACAGAAAGTGCTAGTACGTGACTATCGGGAAGGTCACGCGAAATGGACGCCAGGGACGGTCAAAAACAAGCGCGGGAATGTCATGTATGACGTGATCGTGGGCGCACAGGTCTGGGCATGGCATGCAAACCAGTTACGGCCAACACTGTGACAACCAGAACAAGCAAGTTCTACCGATCTTCCGTTCGACTTTTTGGTGGGAAGCTTCAACTTGCCGTAGGAAGCCGTGGACGACTGCTCACAGTCGAGCAAGCAATCTAGACCACGAGCATTGGAATTAGTTCTCGGGCACTCCTTCCAAGGTAATGGACCGACAGACAGAGAACCCTGTCCCGAAAACTGCAAGTTAATCCTAGGATTTCATCGTATACCTCGGACGATATCTCAGGAGGGGAGGTGTCCATGAGAAAATATTGCCTGGAAAACCCACTATTTCATTGATTAATCGCTTGTTCACGATCATCGCATCGGTTCGAACGTTCGGGAATGTTCTAAGTCCTGTACGTGGTTACCAAACACTTGATATCTCGGCCAAATCTATGCAGAACCACTAATCCTGGTAGTTGATCTTCCGATTCCATAAGTCGAATGTCATTAAGAGACCTATAAATACAGCCAAAGTTCGCGGCAGTTGTACAGTGTTTTGTTGACGGCGGTTAACACGTTATTTTGTCAAGGTCATTGGTGTTCTGCTTTTTCCTTCGGTTGAGCTAGAAGTTTTGTGGAGCAGTAAAGTGCCAATTTCGGAATCGCGTCTAGTGAGAAGATTATAACAAAAAGGTTAACTAATGCAGTTCTATATCCTTAAGGCAGTCGTTTTAAAATATGTACTTTGGCCAAAGTTATCCCTTAACGAGGATACTTTGGCCATGAAGGCAGCACAGAACCAATGTTGTATAACGCAAGGGTGAGTAAGGCCACTGATTATATGCAAAAAGAATTACAAAACGCATCTATAACATTATTAAATTTTAAGCAAATATCTCATAAATGTTTTTTCGAGTTTAGTAGGCCCTTTTGATGGTGAAACACACCCGCCAACACAATCGGGAGAGATTTCTAGTCAGTTGTCGCTGACATCATCGATGGAGGACAAGTAATCGGTATCTCCTAGATAAACTTTGGGAGCCGAGTCACTCACTGGTTCAGCACATGGTTCGGTTCCGGTAACGAGTTCCCAGGCTGGAGGTTCAGAGCGTCTTTGCGTTGTAAATTTTCTGCACCAGTTCGTGAAGGCAGAGAGAAGACAGAGGTTGCGATATGTCAACATTTCGTTTGTTCTCTTCAGTTGCAAACACAATACGAGCAGAAACATACAAACGATTAAATAAATGGAAAAAACAAGCAACACCAATCAAAATGTCACAGTCAAGACCATGGCAACCGAATTGATTGCCTCAAGAGTTTCTGTGTACATAGCACAGGTTGATTGGCCTTAATTAACAGCGCCACACTGATTGCCAGCATCATCAGGTTTTTTTACGTAATAACACTTTGAGCGCTGTCTCAGGGTTCACGTGATGACGGGTTGCCATGAGGTGGTTTGTGATAGACCATGCCGGGCTCCGATTAATTCTCAGATCCGTCCTATTTTGTTGCGTAATCACTTGTCCCAACCACAATGTTCAGCTACACTTTGAGCTAACTGACGGTTTGTTTTGCCTACGGCTCTCCCGCATATTGTCCCATCACGCTGGGCGAGGTAGAAAAACTTGAGCGGGTGCAGCTTGTAGCCACGGCTGATTCCCAACTTACGAGGTATGCAATATGAAGACCGATGTAAGAAACTAGGGCTGTACACCCTAGCATATCGTCGGCCGATGGTTGACCTTGTCATGACGCACCGGATATTTCATCCGAGTGATTACCCCATCTTGAGACAACTGCTTCATCTGCGCACACCAAGCAGCACGCGAGGACACAGGTACAAACTTATCGTACCGCAGTTGAAACGGGTAGCTCACCAACTCTGTTTCGAACGTAGAGTGGTGAATACCTGGAACAACCTGCCGCAGCCGGTAATAGAGGCGAATTCAGTGGCCGAATTTAAGAAGCTTCTAGACAAACATTTCGCAGGGGCAAAATATAAAGAGCGGAACGATAATTAATTGGTTGATGTCCAAGAGCGACAATTGATGCAGCTACACAGAGTATGCTCTCCTCGCTGCTTCTAATCAGTATCAGTAAATATCACCGCAAACCGCAGGTGAACTAATAAACAACGTGTGAGGCCGAACTATCCGACGAGATGCTCTGACGGTTATGAAGGAATAGTCCTTGCGTGGTATGACTGAGTCGCAACTGTGCTGTCGTGTAGGTGCGCGTTAGGGCGGACCAGAGCTTGCGTCCGATATCTTTCACCACATGGTCCCCCTTGAATGGCAAGAACAAAGAAACATCCTTTTTCTCAGCCGTCAGCACCGGTGTTTTCACGTTGGGAGGTCTGCTATATACTTGAGTAAACTTTTCAGGATATCCATTAGAAATTATGGCCTTGTGTAGAACTTCTTCGGCTTTTAACGTTTCGAGGCTGCAAGTACATCTAGCCCGGTAGAAGAGAGTTTTCACTAAGCCGCGTGTGTATGCAATCGGGGCGAAGCTTGAGAAATGAAGGTACTGTCCACTCCAATTCGATTTGCGGTGAACAGTGCGCTGCAACGTACCTTCAGCCCGTCTCCTAATGAGTATATCCAAAAACACCAGACAACTGTGTTGTTCCAGTTCATGGGATACTGACAAATTAGGGTGTATCGAATTCAGGATGGTTAGCAGCCGGGTAAAATGTTCTCCGCTGGTGAAGACTAAACTGTCATCCACATATCGTCTGTACAATTTCGCTTCACCAATGCTGGCAGCAACTTGACTTTCGATCAGGCTGATGAAGATGTCAGCTAAAACTGATCCCAGAGGACTGCCCATAGCAACCCCGTCGTCCTGTTGTATGTGGTCCCCTCAAACTCAAACTGTACGTTCTCGGTGCACAATAAAATCGTATCCTTTAAATACTCCACTGGCAGGCCAACAGACATATTCTAGCTCAGGATAAAATCACGTAAATTATCGACCGTCTCACGTAAAGGCACGTTTGTGAATAAGGAGTCCACATCTATTGAGTATATAAGTTCTGCACTCAGCGACAATTGTTCCAGCGTCTTGGCCAGTTCAAAGGAGTCTTTCTGGCAATACGTAGCGAGGAGTTTACGCACCGGATCTAATAGTTGAGCCAGCCACCGCTCGACATTGTGATAAGGTGAATTGTTCATGCGCATAATCTGACGTAGCGAGTATCCTGCTTTGCGTGACTTGTGAGCGCCTCTCATTCTAGGTGTCTGTGTCCCATTCAGTTTTAAGTGCCTGTACTGCGACTCATTGAGGTAATCATGCAGCAGGAGGATCTGGAGCTTCCTTGCTACATGTTTCTTCACCAGGATGTTATTTTCTGGTGTATTATCTAGTTGGAACTTCCGCGTGTTTCCCCGAATGGGCTCCATCTTTGAAATGTAGTCAAGCCTGTTCATTACTGCAATGCCCGATCCTTTATCCAGCATTACGTGTTTTATTTGTTTCAACTCCCTGGTCGCTGTATAATGTTCAGATTGCAGACAGCACCTCTGACTTATCGGCGTACACAGAAACTGGTTCGCAATATCTACCAATTTCGCCCGAAATCAACCCGCATCTTCTGTCGATCTTGGCGTGAGGTCACTGAGCTGTTTATTCAGATACTCAAAATGCGCCTGCGTGGTGACCTTGTCTAGCGCTTTTTGTGGCAGTCGGTATTTCATTCCAAGCGAGAGAATTGCCAATTGAGTGCGTGTGAACTGAGCACAGGATAAATTGTATACGTGCTTCAAGCAATCAGTAGGAAAGGAAGCATTGGTGGCTTTAGCAAGAGAACCCTGCACACTGCGCACTGTATTTGCTCTCGTGCGACGGAGAACTTCGGCGGAAAAGACCTCAAATTAAATCGACAAACCAACGGCAACTCATTGAGTATGTATGCCAACCGTCTAGGGAAATTTTCGTTCTCGCTCAAAGCAGGCGCCGATATGCGCCAACGCGATCCTGGCCAGATTTGTGTTGTTTATCGGCAACTTATTCCTAGACAACGTCTTGGCGACTCGCGGCGGGAAGGAGTCTGGGCGGATACATTCCTCAAAAAACGTCACACGGACGTGTTCAATAGCTAACTTACAGCGCAGAGACAACAATCGGTCTAAATCTCTCGCAACGGTAGCGGGAAGTCTTCTTTATAGCAAAGTAAAATAGTGGGTCCCCTTCAGCCATTTCGTCAAGGCAGAGAGAAGACAGAGTTTGTGATATGTCAACATTTCGATGGGATCTGAGAATTAATCGGAGCCTGGCATCGTCTATCACCAAGCACCTCATGGCAGCCCGTCATCACGTGAACCCTGAGACAGCGTTCAAAGTGTCATTACATAACAAAAACCCGATGATGCTGGCAATTAGTGTGGCATTGTTAATTAAGGCCCATCAACCTGTGCTATGTATACAGAAACTCTTGAGGCAATCAATTCGGTTGCCATGGTCTTGACTGTGACATTTTGATTGGTGTTGCTTGTTTTTTCCATTTATTTAATCGTTTGTGTGTTTCTGCTCGTATTGCGTTTGCGACGGACGAGAACAAACGAAATGTTGACATATCGCAACCTCTGTCTTCTCTTTGCCTTGACGAAATGGCTGAAGGGGACCCACCAGTGGCAAGGAGCATTTCTTTCAGTTTTTGCTTGAGTACCCCTGAAAGCGAGGTGCTGACGGCATCTGTATCTTCTTTATTCTCAGGACGAAATGGGGAATTATTGTGTACATGCCACTTTCTCTAAACCCCGACTGCAATTTTTCCGCAATACCTTCCTCCATGGTAGGTATAAGCTGCTTGAGTACCCCCGAAAACCTATCCTTCTAGATGGTTTGGGCCTTTTTGCCACGGGTTTCTATATTTTATCAGAATGGCCCTCTATTGGGTCTTCATTGGCCGTAATAATGCTACATCTAGGGGCTGGAAGAGGTGGGTTGAGTTAGGTGAAAAGCATCAAAAAGCCATATTGTTTTCATTGCAGTCTAACAATGTCAAGAGAAAAATGTGAACTGAGATTGTCACCCAAAAGGGCATAACAGCCAGTTTTTCTACAACAGAAGGTAATGCCACTTGCTGTAACCAATCCAAAAGGCAGGTGTTGTCAAACCAACCTGACCTTGACCTGTTATATCTTGTGCCTGGTGGACCATTCTCCTTACAGGTGCCCAAATAATAATTTTTTACTTTGATTACGGTCACTGATATTACACAGATAACACTAATGACACCGTATTTCAACTGGCAAACATTAAGCACTGTAACGGGTTACTTTGGCCACCTGGTCAAAGTTACCCCAAAATAACAGCTTATTGGGGTAACATTGGCCACCAAGATAGTAACACAGTGTATGATACAAGTGTTTGAATAATATCAAATATTGAGAAAGCGACAAAACAGGTGGTTATACTTACACTCTTAGAAACTTGATTCACAGTTGAAAGAATACCGTTTGTTAAACACATGTATTCACAACGAGTATCCTCAGTACCGAATGTTCCAGTAGAGCATAAAATGATTTCATAATTATGAAAAATAGACTTTCAACACAAAACCGATTTTACAACACACAAAATAATAACAGTAGGTGTCATCTAAGTTTTAAACATCTTTCCATGTTGGTCCAAAGTTACCCCATTTTACGGCACCTTTGTTTTCGGTTAGAAACACGTTGCCCAAGTGGACGAAATTGTTTGAGGAGCCTAATATCTAGAGTCCCTACCACATTCCTTTAACATAACACCACCTCACTGCGGAGACCGTCTTAACACGCATCCTCAATATTCATGCTGTGGTTTTCTAATCGATATAAAGCTCTTACTTTGACGGATGCTGTTCGGTATATTTTCCACGCAGATCTCCGAATCGATCTAGGTGAGCTTGACCCATCAGTTCCTTCATCGGAGACTGAAGTGACCAAAATGGACCCGAGCACCACTCACTGGCTTTTTCCTCACCCGATATATTTACTACGATCCTATCGACCCCCGCTTCGGCCGGCACCAGATTTAGAGCTGCCAGAAACTGACATCGAACTGGAGTCAGAACTGAAAAAGCAAGAGTCCCTTTTGTTTCATTTACACGAACAAATAGGCCGCGGAGAGACAACGCCTGTAAAGGAGGCTCTATTGTGGGAGGTGAGATTTTCGCACTTTATTTGTGGTTTAAAGTATGCCTTTGTCATGTTTATCTTGCCACTGTGAGTTTTCCCTTGAGAAAACATAGGCTCCCGTCAAATGCGCTCCCACAACCGTGTTTTTAAGTCACCATTCTTATAGATACTTGCCTTATCGTCTTCATTTTCAGACGCAGCGTATTGTAACGGAGCTGCGACGAAGGAAAAGTCTTCGTGATCCTGAGACCATCCGAGCAGAGCTCCTTCGACAGCAGGCACAGTTGGACCGGCTACACAGAGTGATTGCTGCAGAAGCAACACACTCCGGTGCTTCAGAGCATAGCGACCCAACCGTTTCCTTGCAGACTCCCGCGAGCTCCGGAATGTCCCCACAATCCCATCGGTATGTTTGAGTTAAAAATGCATATACGTTCCTTAGGTAGAACTACGGCGGAAGTGGGAGAAAGTGCTGTTCGACAAAGGGGACACAACCATGGGGCCATGGAGGTGGTCTCTCCTGTTTCATGAGCCGTTTTCCATATTCATAAATAATCCTAAATGCTAGATCGTGTTAGTGGTACACTCCAATTTGGACAGTGATCCTGTATTCCGTGTGTCTTACCTACAAGTACAGTGTTGCCATGCCGCGGTCGCTGCGAGCGTCGGAAGCTAGAGACCGCCGAGATATATCTTACTGTAATGTCCAACAAGAAGAATGCTTGAACCACTACAAACCAGTTGAACGCACTAGCCACTATGTTTAGTTATTTGCAGGATTACACGGCATTGGTCTCTTAGAGGATAATTTCCACTACTGCTTGCATCACGTTGCCTGGAGCCACCGAACAATTAAGAGCTGAGAGGAACACATTGCCACCAATCGCAGATGATGTTTAAATGTCAGAACTCATTGGTCGATGTACTAAGGGGATGTGGGTTTCAATCCTGAACTGCCAGCAAACCTGGATCTTAATCGTCATTAAAACTGGTGACCCGCAAACATGCAATGTTTTGCTGAACTGAAGTCAATTGTTACTTATGAACGTTGCGAGGACGCATATAATGCCAGAACCTACTCCGATGCGTCACGAAAACCTTTAAAGTCAACTACGATAAGCAACTGGATTTATCGTCTATCGGTTAGCCTAACGGGAGCGCGTAAGATGATCTTCTGATCTAGACTTTGTTTCTAGTGGAGCCCATGGTCAACCATGACGTGGATCAGTTGCTTTGAAGGATGACTCAGTTTGTCCGGTATTTTTATTGGTGGAACCAAGTGCACTATTTTGGTGGCCAGATTAATTAAAAGTGGTCTGGAAAAGTCGGATGTGAAGAGAAGTTGCATTCACTCAGGGATTATGCGAGGACGTCATAACTCATAACCAACTAGCTACTTTACTTAGAGCATATACAATCAGGTCCAGGATACTTGAACCTAGCGCGCATAAAGATCTTTGTGGCGGCTGCTTGTAGATTGACTGCATTAAACACGTATATGTTCCACCTTGTGTACTAGATGATACGTCTACGATAACAGCCGTCGGTGGGCTCACATCCAATTACTTAACAGCAGCATGACTTAGGCAAAAACCGACAACTATGGCTGCTATCCCAAACAGGATATTCATACTTTACTGTGATCGAAGTAGAATTATAGTGTATATACGGCGATTGTCCGATCTGTCGTCATAATACGAAATCGCTTGGAAAACCCTTCAGGGCATAAATTTATGTATGGTGTCACATCGTATTCTGTTTTGACTGCGTGCAATAACTGTTGTGTTTCATGACTGGACCATTCTGCTGCGATTTTTAATTCTCTTTGTCGTCCCGGATGATATATATATATATATATATATATATATACCCAGCACTTTACTAATTACAATACAATTGGCTGAGTGCCACAACATGCAAGAGAACGGTAGATTAAAAGGGAAAATTTTAGTTAGAGAGGAAGAGTCTCACAGCAAGTGCGCCATTGCGTACGGTCCTTGGTCATATGCAGTAGCGTTTGCAACCAGCGTGCTCGTGATACTTGGGTCCCCAACCCGGGAGTCGGGAACGCCCAACAACGGGCAGCTTCGAAGTGTGCGCCTTAACGCATTGGACCCAGGTTGTACAGTGATCTCTTTGTCCTCACTTCTAGTCCACGCATGCGCTCACAAGGAGGACACGTGGCCGTAATCGCTGGGTAGGCGCATACGAAACACGTGCCCAAGCCAGCGGAACCTTAGCAGTGGAATAATGCTATCGAGCGTTCGGCGGAGTTTGTCAGATATGAAAACGCTGACGAACCTCGTCATTACTGATGTAGTGTTACCGTCGAACACTAGCAAGGCTCCGCAGGCATCGATGATCGAAGACAGATAGCTGCTGAACATAACTCGTGCGAACGGGCCAAGCCTCGCTTCCATACGGCAGTGCATTTCGTACCGCATCATTGTAGACTCGGTTCTTTAAAGCGAGGCTGAATTCACGACGACGTCACAGGTGACGGAGAGTAGCAAAAGCTACCCTACCCTTGGATATGCGCAAGGAGATATCCGTCAAACCGCCAATAGCAAGACAATTGCCAAGGTAAATGAACTCGTCGATCACTTCTAACGGACGCCAAGAAAGAGTGTGAGAAGCAGACGCACTTGGCCAGTCCTGTAATAGGACCTTACACTTGGAAGAAGCAAAGGTCGACCCAAGGCATCAGCAGCACGCCGGTATGCAGTACCGACGCTTCGTTGCTGCGCAAGCACCATCAGTCGCACATAGGCTAAGGATACTGTGTCGCCCAGTCCCTACGTAGGCTCGAATCTGCGCCCTCAGATTACAAAGCAGGCTTGTAACCTTGTAGGCTACGAGCCGGCAACCCAAATCGAGAGGTGGACATCTCTAGCCTAAACAGCACACGCTACGCGACCTGGGAGAACTTACAAATAACAGCGATGTAATCTGCGTATTCCAATTCCTGAAGGGGGTCACCAGGGAGCAGCTCGACGCCGCAGGATTGAGTTTCCCAGGACACTCTCCGGAGTATAGTCCATGGCGAAGTTGAACAAGTGAGAAGCTGGGCAAACCTGTCTAACACCACTAGTGATAATGAAGGAGGGCGAAAAGTATCGGTACACTCGCACGCGGCCTGTGGTTTGACTTCAAATGGCACGGAGATTGCTTATGTGCTTCTCAGGCACTCTGTCAACAGTCAAACGTGGCACAAATGTCTAAAAATACAACTAGGGTTGCTCTACTGAATGTATGGCGGTGTTCAAATATCTAGCGGATCGTAAAGATGTGATCGACGCAACTGCGATCTGGGCGAAACCCAGTCTACTGTTCCCGTACCCAATTGAGCCTCCTCAGGAGTAGGGCAGCAAGCAGTCTGGATGTAACACAAATGATACCGATCCCACGATGACTGGAGCAAACGGTACGGTTTCGATTTTTGTATACAGGTACGACATCCGCTAATCTCCAGTCAGATGGGATGGTTTCGATAGTTCAAATTTCATGGTGAATGGATGTCAGTCCACGGGTGAAATACGGACCCCCATCTTGGAAGAGGGCTGGAATTTTCTATGCTCTTGAAGATTGTGTTTACAAGATCACATTGATTAACCTATCTCGTTAATGCCACCTTATTCTCACACGATGGTCAGTTGTTCGTGAGTTTGCATTGCCGGCAGGGTGAACACTTGTCCGCAAACGTTGGCTAACGACATTCGGGTCTCTGTGTCGATTCCATTTCTATTCTTCTTTCCCTTCATCAGTAAAACAGTAATTGTATGGCATCGAACCATCACCCCAAATTGCAAAAATCGGTTCGTTTTGGTTCACACTGCGGTACCAATGTGCTTCTATTCTAAACGGTCCTTATATTTCACCATATTCCAGGTCGTCAAACGAAAACCCTTCTAAACGGTCCATCAATCCAATTTACGCTCACCCTGATGAACTGTGGGAAGTCCAGCGTCAAGTCACTATGCTTAAAAGGCGATTGAAACAGCAAGAGAAGCTGTTCAGTCAACAAACGAACGCACAAGTCCCGAGCTCTTGTGCGTCCACGATTCATGGTCCCATTCCCTTGCCAATACCAACTCTTTCCGAATTGGACGAAGAAGAAGTGTTAAATCTCACACTAAGGTTTGTACCTTGCCTGTATGTCTATTGAATAGACGGTTGAGATTTTATATATATATATATATATATATATATATATATATATATATATATATATATATATATATATATATCAAGGCAAGTCTGAGAATATATATATTCTCAGGCTTGCCTTGGTATCCTCCAAAGATTGATAAAGTGACAGTGGTTCTACGTTAGCCTCCGTGAATAACAACCCAATGGGGTGCATACAACTGTACATTTCTACCTCAGTTTCTCGTGTGTACATAATTTGTTGTTATACCTGGGATATTGACACTACAACTGACCATCGGCGGTCGAAGTGATTACAAAACACGTGATTCGCAGTACCATCCTGGCAACAAAATCTGAGACTGTATTTAAGAGCAAGTAGAAAAGTTTCTGTACAACTATCGAATTATGAAAAATCAAAAACATTTAATTGCGAATCGTCAGCGGTAGTGTTTGGTCAGTTAATCGTTTATCCTTGTTCGGTTAGGAATTCGTATTGGTGTCATTATTTCCGGGTATAGGATGTATTTTTTCATTGTATGTGCACCGTTTCACAAAAGCACAGGTTTCCGAAATAATCGTCGATACGTGTTTTAAAACACTTCACAGAATCGGCCTCTATTAATCCTTCTGGTAGTGTATTCCATAAGTTTACGATTCTTCGTTCTATACAAAGCTGATGTGATACCTTGTTCATGCAGGGGACCCTGAGTTTGTAACGGTGTCTTCGGGTGTTACAGGGTTCCCGCAGGTGAAATATTGGCCGCAGTATGGGGAAGTGATTCAAGTGTAGTACTCGATGGGTCATAATAAGGTCAATTCTTACTCGGCGGTAGGATAGTGTGTAGAGTCCGAGCCTTTCACAACGTTTTTCATACGGAAGCTTTCGTAGACTGGGTATCATTCTAGTTGCGATATGCTGTATTTTCTCCAGCTTTTCAGTTTCCCACTGGGTTATCGGATGGTAAGCTGGGGCACCGTATTCAAGGATTGGTCTAATGAGCGAGGTGAATAGACGAGGGACGGTTTCTTCGGACCATGTGGAGAAACTGCGTCGTAATGCCCAGAGCATACGAAGTCCCGCACGGTACAATTTCTCTGTATTTTCTAGTGATCTCATATCATGTCGCGAGAGCACTCCTAAGTCTCTGACAGATGTGTTAGGGTGGAGCAACTGGCCGTCCAAGGTGTATGATCGAGTGGCTGGACGTCTGGTGATACTGATGAACTCCGACTTGCTTGCGTTAAGAGGGAGTTGCATTTCAGTGGACCACGTTGACAGTCGCTCTAAGTCATGCTGGAGGCGAGCGCAGTCGTCCTGGTTCTCAATGATCCTCCAGATTTTCAAATCATCTGCAAACAGGGCACATGGTGACTGGAGCTGCTGCGGAAGATCGTTGATATGAATAAGAAATAATACTGGCCCAAGTACAGTTCCTTGAGGCACGCCACTGGTCGATGGGAACCAGTCTGTCAGGTAGTCATTGACCTGTACTCTAAACTTTCGTCCCACAATAAACTCGTGTAACCACTGAAGTAGCGTGCCACCGATTCCGTATGTCCTCAGTTTACGAAGGAGTACCTCGTGGTTCACTCTGTCAAACGCCTTACTAAAGTCGATGTACACCACGTCAACATCCTTCCGTTCGTTGAGAGCTCGTACCCACTGGTGGTTTGCGTACATCAAGTTGGTGATGCAGGATCGCCCTTTCGTAAAGCCGTGTTGCGCTGGCGTCAATACGTCCATCGATTCGAAGAACGACAGCAGACACTTTTTCACAACCTTCTCGAGAACTTTGGATAATATCGAAGTCAAACAGATCGGTCTATAGTTCTCTATTTTACTCGGATCACCACCCTTGGGAAGCGGTCTCACTATCGAGCATTTCCAGTCGTTGGGGACAGATCCTTCAGAGAGTGATTTATTGAATAGGTTTGTCACGGCTGGTGAGATGATAATCGATAGGGACTTGAGTATTAGTGGGTGAAGTCCGTCTGGTCCGGGGGGCTTTGCACCATCGAGGTTGACGAGTAGCTGATACACTTCGACTGCATCACATTGTAGGCTGTCGAGCAAGACTGGCGCAACCTGTGCCGGTACTGGAACAGCCGCCGGTTTACTGGAAAATACGGTGAGGAAGTGCGTAGCCAAGGCGTCCGCGCGCTCCGCGCTTGAAATGAGCGTCTGTCCGTCCAAGCTCTCTAAGACCGGTAGGTCGCCCCAGGTTTCAGTTGACGTTTCAAGTAGGCAAATATTCTTTGGGTGCAGTTGTGGCCGAGGATGCTAGCTCCTCTTCGAACTGCCGGCGTTTCTTGATCTTTGCGGCGTTACATAAGTTACGCTGTTTCTTGTACACCGTGTAATCTTCATCACAACCCGAGCTGATGTATCTATCCCAAAGTTTGCGACGCCGTCGCGCTAACTGTCTATATTCCGTATCAAACCAATGCGGTTTGACAGGTCCGATTTTGAATACTTCAGGGGAACGAACCGAGTACACAGCGAGTTAAGCTTCCCCTTCATTAATGACCAACAGGCCTCAAGCGACGCATCCTGTGGTAGTGTCCAATCAGTCTGACTTGCGGCTTGGACGAGCCCGTTGAAGTCCGTCTTCCAATAGTTGAATGTCGGCTTCCGTTGGTTGTAATACGGTAACGACAGTTCTATGCTTGCCACAATGGAGCAGTGGTCACTGTTCGCCAGAGGTTCGAGGACTCTGATCTCGTTCAGCTTCTGCTCGCAGCTCGTAAACATTAGGTCCAGACAAGATGCCGAGTGCGGAGTTACGCGCGTCGGTTGGATGACATGTTGCGTTGCCCCGATTTCAATAGTCATTTTAGCGAATTGAGCCTCAACGTTGCCATGACCGGGAAGAAGTCGAACGTCTGGCCAAAATATCTTAGGTAAATTTAGATCCCCCATCAGTAAGAACTGAGGGCGGCTCATGTGCTTCTGTACATGTGGTAGCCAATCGCAACAACGGTTTAATGGGCTACGGTAGATAACACCCACTATTAGTTCTGCGCGTCTGAGGCGGATTGTGCACCACAATTGCTCGCATAAATTATCCTCGCTCCGATAGGTGCTGGTAAGTTTGCCAGATAGTGACGATTTTATGTACAACAGAACACCACCGTGAGCCTTTGATTTTCGGTCGCATCGGAAACAAGAGTATCCTGACAACGCGACTTCTTGGGGTATGACGTCGGAGTTCAGCCAAGTCTCTGCAAGTCCTAAAACGTCCGGCCGCTCCGAGACAGCGAAGCGGCACAGTTCGTCACGTTTGTTCATTAGGCTGCACACGTTGGCGAATGCCACACGGAGGTCCTGGGAGGTACCGCGGGACGTGCCTGGAGGTTGAGCAACCGGTTGATACGGGTTCGTACACCCTTCTTGATCACCCGAAAATTTACAATTTGTAAGTCAGTCTCACCTTCTTCTGTACGGCGTTTGAGCTCAATGACCGCAGTCTTCAAACGATCCCTGTCTTCGGGTTCCAAGTCTCGGCGGATGTGAACCTTTATGCCTTTCAGCCTTGACAGACGAGACAGTATGAGCTGCGGCATATTGTGATTTGCAAAGGTGATTCTCAGAGGTCGACATGACTGGTTAGTTTTCTGGCCAAGTCGGATTACTTGTTTAATCGTCACACTGTCTTCACCCACATCCAAGAGTCTATCGATGAGCCCCTGGAGGAACTCAACATCGTGATCATAACGTATCTGAGGGTTTTCATCTTTTGACTCTGGTACGTGGAAGACCATGAGATTATGACGCCTCAGCGAAATCGGTGATGAACCTGTGGGAGCAGGACTAGAGGCGCTTATCGGTTTGGGTTGTTGTTTATCAGCAGGGGACGCCTGAACTCGATTACGTGGCCCCTTGCGCTTTTGAGTGGTCCATGGATCCTCGGTGTTCAGAGGTTCACAGACAGGCTCTGAGAAATTCACGGACCGATCAGTGAAGTGGCATTTCGTAGGTTGGTGAACATTGAACCTGAGGCTCGGCCGGGGTCGAAGACGCTGGTGGTGGTGCAGATCGCGGAGTGACAAGGGAAGGCGAGGTTACAGATGTTTTCACGAGGGCGTTTGACCCCACGTGGTGAACGGTTTGTTTCTGTCTGGAAGAGAGGTTTTCCCGTAGTTGTTGGCGGTCGCTGTGTATTCTGATGTCTTGCACCGCGACATTTATCACATATAACTTGGAAAAACCGATGTCGGATGTCGAGAGATTTTTGAAATACGTCAACGGATAAGCCAATACATGAAATATGGAACAAAACATCGCAGCCGAAGCACCGAACTGCATGAGCCTTAGGTCCAACAGCTTAAGAACACGAACCACAGATAGCTTGAGCCGGCATCACAAGATAGGTAGACATGCACTGCTTAGTGTCATGATGCAAGCATTTGTAGACAATACGATCAGTTACATGACAGGTGATCAAATTAACAGGTGTCTGGCTCCGCGAAATGTAACATGGAACCCAGTGACTATCCTTCACTCGTTTCAGAAATTTTATCCCACTCAACAGCCATGTGTTTGCGTTCTTTCGTGCCTGGGAGCCCTCTCAGCATCCAATTTTTGTCCTGCTTAATGGAATTGTTATCTTCACCGAGTTGTAGTATTTCTGAAATATACATTTACTGACTGAACCCCATATACGATAAGCTCAGAATGTTACCCAACTACAATCGCGAGCCTCAAATAGGCCATGAACGCTTGCGTGTTACCGGTGTCTGATATCACCGGCATCTGCGCCTTATCCAAGGAACTTCATGCGTGATCTACCGCAAGTCCACCTTCGAATATCCAGGTACGTGCACTTCTTAGTGATACATGCAGACGAAAGAGGTGAGCAGAACATCGCATTTTCCCAAGAAGACAGCTGTTTCTACGACACCGCGAGCGAATGATTAACCGAAACAGAGGCTTCCATTCCTTGGAGATGATTTGGTGTTGCTCCTCCCAACACTGACATCCAACTATAAATTAGGCTTCCACCCCGTTCTCCAAACTTCAGAAATGCAACGTTTTGCTTCGGAAAACTAGCAGACCGACGAAAGCAAACGATTTGCCACACCTTAACAGCTAATCTCGTCCCCATTTTGGGTTTAGAGCTCCCACTGTGGTGGGATTTCGACAACCACTTTCGGTTTGAACGTGAGTGATGACGTAATCTAACCGCTAAGACTGTTTCTAAGATATACAAACCTTAGCTATTCAGTTCCACTACTGTCCTTGTCTAGCTTTGGTTCAAATCGCATTCATCGATTTCAGTAGTCTCCACAAGCACTGTACAAGTAGATCAGTGACTTACTCATTGGGAGATGGCGGGTTCAGGTGGATGACCACCTAACGGACTGGGACCCGTCCACTAACGGCGTACCCCAAGGCACAGTACTGAGGCGCATTTTATTCCTGATCCACACCAACGAAGTACCTCAGCTTCTTTGGTTGCCCTGTGCATTATTTGCGAATGACCTGAAGTTTTGGAAGATTATTGATTCTTCCGGCGACTGTGACGTCCTTCAACAAAACCCCGACCGCCTATGCTGGTGGTCTGTAGAAGTTGACCTATTGGTCAATACGACCAAGTCCTCGTTTTTGTGTCTGGGTAGAGGTAGTAATGGGCGTGCGTACAACCTGGTCAGCCATCCGCTGCATCCCACCAGTTCCGTAAAGGATCTAGGCATACTCTCACGCTGTGATCTGAAGTTTGTTGACAACACGAACAGACTACGCGTGCTTTGAGCGCTTAGACGCAGCCTCTGCACTTGATCTGAAGAGATTGCCACCCGTCTGTTCTCTTCCATGAGACCGGTGCTTGAGTACGGCACACCCGTCTATCGTCCGATCACAATAGGTGACGTGCAGAGACTGGAACGGGTCCAGCATGTAGCTACCGGGCTCATCCCCAGTTTACGGGGTGTCGTACGAGGACCGATGTAGGAGACTAGGGCTTTATACCTTGTCATATCGTCGGCTTCGAGTTGATCTCATTACGATGCACCGGATACTGCACCTGGGCCACTTCCCTATGTTAAAACCGCTGTTGCACATTCGCGCACCAAGCAGCACACACGGATACCGGTACAACTAGTGGTATCGAATTTAAAGCACATCGTTCACCCTCTATGCTTCAAGCGGCGAAATCGGTGTCGGAATTTAAGAGATTTCTTGACGCCCACTTTGCGGACTACAGGTATAGGGAGCATATCGTGCCCGGATAAGGTGTAGTGCAGCTGTAATATGCTGGCACCGCGCAGAAATCAGCGACGTGATTCCGCGCATGTGCTCGATCCTACGATGGAGCACCACAAATTTTTATCTTCTCGCTCTCTATTCTCAGTATTCAAACGTACAGTCTTGGGCCCGGAACATGTGTTAGCTAAACACGTTTATTCGCTAAGATCATCGACTGTCTACACTTATTAGACTTGAAGGTGCGGAGTTGATCCCAGCTAGATTAGTACAAAATAGAGATATGATACAATAACGACGAAATGCCGACCCGTGTTATTCCGTGACCTGCTACGATATCCACCCTCAATTATAGCAACTGCGCGCCGATACAATGTGGGATTATCTGTTCCGATTCCGGCAGCACATATGGCTCATTCTCTCACTCCAAAGGTGCATCTCTAGGCCTCGAATTGTTGGTCGTTGTGGAAACGCTGAACCGTACCAGCTTAGCACTCGGAAAAGTAGAGCCCTATTCAATCTCGAGCGCGATTTTACTGATCACACCAAAAAATTGAGCAGCCACTTCTGCGGTTTCTTACATCATTCGCTCGAATAATACACTGCGCATTGCCGATTAAAACGATAAGACTCCTATGTGATGACTTTACTATGTATTCCATCCATGCAGGAAACTTCCTGCTGAAATACCGTGCAACGCCGCGACCGCGCATGACTGCGCTGTTCCAACACAGATGTCGTTGCCCGATGCTACTCTCGAAAATCCACCTGTAACCAGGCTCCCTGTGACTGATTTGAGCGTTCGACATCACAGTCCGACAATCAACCACCGAGTGATTCAACTGGACTTAGATCCCGAGCTCAGTAGCCCAGCGAACCTGTCGCATGCTATGGACATTCCCGATGAAGGAAAAATGCTCTCCGATCATGTCGAAGGCGTTCGCAGTGAAGCGCAAGACGAACCTGTGAGTGTTCCTAACAGAATAACTTTATTATAACGATCCTAGAATTTTAAAAAAATTTTAAATAGTGCTAAAATCGGATTATTATGAAATTTCTCAATTTTAGTAAAGAAACTGGAACGGTCGACTGTTCGCAGATAGGATATTTGAGGCTTGATAAAGCGGCTGGTTTAAATAGATATCGAATTCATGACAACTTCAGATCGGTTTTGCCAGACACTGGTTACTAAACTTATGTAACATCATCTCTCTTTTGACGTAGATGAAAGACCAAAACTTCTGCAAACCTACATTTTTCTTCCTAGGGCGTTACCTTGTTACTAACACTAACTCTTGCATCGTGTGACTTTCTATCATATAGTATATAGCTCCAGACAGAGAGGAAAATCTTACTACTACAGTGATTCCATCGCAGAAATTCGGACATGAAGACCTTATTCGGCGACCAAACGATGTGTTCATTTGTGCCGACCCTCCTACCTGCTCTGTATCCCCTTGGAAAACAGCAGAATCAACGATAATCACATCGGTTCCTCTAACAGCAGCCGAGCGCCAAGTAGCACATCAAGTGGCGTTTTACGCCGTTCGAAAGCAAGAACTGCAGGCTATCCAGGCTGACCTACGTGCAAGATCATGGTCGGAAAATGCTGAGATTCGCCGGATCATGGTGAGCCCCTTGACATAGTGCTGGTTGAATCGTGTAAGATGGTTTGATATACCGGGGGTTATTGACATTTTGAGTTCACATGACTGCGGTCATATGAATTGGTCAAATACTCAATTCTCTACAGACTGACCGTCAAATGAGGGTGAACGGTTCCACACTAAATTATAAATGCTACGATTCGATGGCTGTGTGCAAGTTGTCATATTGCCTCGCGCGTCTCATTCCCCACTGTTTTAAAACAGTGGGGAATGAGACGCTACCGCTAACTACGAAATATGGCCGTTAGTTTCTATAGTGAAGGGCCTGATGGGAGTGCGCGCTTCTTTGGAACGAAACAACTACGTCCTATGACCCGTTGTAACTGTAACGACTATACGGGATTTACTTGGTAAGCAGATAACATGACAATCGATATTGAAATGCTACCGCTCCATATACTTCCGTGAATGCGTCCTTGTCTGCGATGTGATGTGATTAGGTCTCTCGACAGGTCATTACGTTTGGCTTCACGAAAAGGAAGGTAGTTGTATTGCTTTTGGTGTGCATTTGCGTACGTACCAGTCACCTACTGCTGCATATGCACGTGGAACCCCTGATTCTTTCTTTCGGTACTACTTCCACTGTTAGATTTCTACCGGACGCAACTAATTTTTTCTTATAGGCTTGCATAAATCACTTACTGGACACTGGTGGTGAACGTATTCGTCAATTGTGCGACGCCCACTTCGCTCCAGTGCATCTATCCTCGGGACACCTCCCTGCATTACCGAACCGATCTTGGATACAGATAGCTACCAGACTGAATGATGATGAGTGCTGGCCAGATGAAAAAGAACGATCACTTCCCGCCAATGGGCACACTATCTCAGAATCTTCCGACGTGGCATCCAGTACAAGTACCGATTCTCAGATTGTGACTTATTCGCGACTGAACGACAGAGACGAAAACTGTCCAGGTTATTCGCATGAATCTGGGAAAGCGAATGAATTGCAGGTATGTAATCCAGATACTCATTCAGCGGATGATGATTCTGAAGAGTGCGAAGTGGAGTTGGCCAAGACTCTACTTCAGCTGACGTTAGATAACGCCCGTCTGGAACAACTGAATGCCCGTTACTTAGAGGGAATTCAGGCTGAAAGAAACAGATGCGCTGAATTGAAGGTGAGGCTACTATGAAATTGTACCCTTGTGCATTCACTAATCAATAATTTTTATATACACATTAACTCGAAAGTTTTGACACCCCGCCTAACTATGCTGACATATGGGCGAGTTGACCGCTCTCATTGACATGCCTTGAGGCGTTCTCATCCCCATGCATTCTCACTATTTCTCCTATGCAGGTGTTATTAAAGTTGCGAAGCAGTGGCCGGCCAATAGTCATCAACGAGGATTGCACTTGCACACCTGGTCGAGACAGTCAGCACTAAGAGCACCGAAAACAGCCCTCCCAGGTCCCTCTGCTTGCTGCAGAAATCCCATCAGAGAACCGAAAAACAAATGTGCGCAGAGCACCGATATTCACGCAGTTCCGCGCTAACAGAGGATCTGATATCTCTTGCTGTCGAATTATTCTGCAATATCCCTGTTATCACCCTACTGGACGGGTTGCGGAGGTTCGCATGATTATCCTCAAATCCATTTGGGACCGAGTTGTCGCTCAGCTAACTCGTTACAAATGTTGGTGCAATATCGTGCAATAAATGTACAATTACACTTTTGAAATAATTGACGGCGTTTTACAGGTTATTTAAATGTACAGCGTCTGTCAGGTGAAGCATCAGTTGTATAGGGCGGATGCCGCAATGTTGATAGCTTTTCTTTCATTTAAACTACCCATTACGTGTAACTTCAGTTTCAGTTGGAAAACGAAAATCAGGGAAAATGGCACCAATAGTCCGCTTGTATTGCTTCTTTGCTCGATTAGCCGATTGTGACTGGATGAGCCAAACAAAGGGCGTGCGAGCAATCAACAAGGAAGGCATTTCGGGTCCGAAACACAACGATGGAAATCGCCCGAGAGGGAAGCATTCCAATGAATCCGTTAGAGGGCTTGCGATATTTGTAGCGCACCCAGTACACTATCACGAAAAAGTCACTTATTTTCTTGCCGAATAGTCACGTTGTCGAAAATCCCCTCTAAATTCTCGTGTTGACTGCGAATTTTTTCGTACATCTCTCTCAAGTTCTGGTACGCTGTTGGCGAAACCTCGACAAATGTCTTCGGAATATAAACGTCTTCTACTGAAGAGACCACAACATTGTGCTCTTGTTCAAGTTCCTGTCGCAAAGTGTCCATAGCACGAGGGTGACAATGAAACTGAAAAACGAGGGTAACGTTAATTAATACGATATGGAACCAAAAAAGGACATGTGAGTGACTCCACTCGATTAAAGTAGAATTAGGGAAGCCTAAGTGAATTTTTGGGATGCCATGATTGAGATATATCAGTTACGGCGATCGTAACACCCCAGACGCAGGTAGAGATACATCGATTCGCGTAAAGAAGTTGTCGGAGTAAAAGCATGAGAACCAGTCTAATCAGTGCATGTAGTGAATAGCCAGCGACAAAAGGCTATTGCCCTCTGCACACTTATGACACGGATGACCCACCTGATCCATGTAGCACCGCTAATCATAGTGGACCACCGTAAACTCCGTTGCTGGAAAACCGTCGATATGTATATTTGTAAGCAGTATAAAATGCTTTTGTATAAGAGCAGCAGTCACAGATCGCACGGCTACCTTCTAATGCAAATCAATTAGCCAGATCCGGCTATCTTCTCGTCACCAGTTGGCACAGAGACTCATGAAGATAGTGTAATCGAAGGTGCAATTGATACGTCATGTAGGTCTCGAGTCACGTGAGATGATCATGTTTAAGGATTTGATGGAGAAAACAAGCGGAAAGTTTAAAAAGAGAGCAGTTGTGGTAACTTGCTGCATCCAGCTATCACATTTATAGAGAATCGAGATCGACTAAGAGTATAGCGAGAAATAATTAGGCGGACTACCACTTATGATGTAAGTCAGGTCATCATAGTGGGGTTAGTTGCTGGCCATAGCACCTGTAATGATTAAGCCATTCTCACTTGGATACTTAGGTCTAGGCTAGTCAAGTTCATGCGTACAGCCTAGGCGATGGCAAGCAAACGGGCTCAACCGATGGCTCTGCTACAATAGTGCTTTACATCATCATCGTCATCATCAATACCCGTTAGCCGAAGATGAGAAACACCTCAACTAATGTGTCGCACTACAAGAAGTAAGACATTAAGCAATGTTGACTTAAAAGCTATATAAAAGTAACAATGCTAATGTCACATTTTTGATGACTGTTGGAGGGGGAAGGGGAGGTACAAAGAATATCATAACACAAACGTCACTGAGGTCGACTCCGCATGTCAACTAGTGTATCCAACCCATGGTACTTTACTGGGATGCTGGGAGCGACTGGCTTATCGGTGCTAATCAGATGGTTGGTTAAGTTCTAAGTAAATGGTATATTCCTCGACGGTGCGAGGCACAGTCTATGTGATTCTAGTTACCTGATTATTCAATTCAGGAGATTTACCATGATACTTTGGTAATAGGGCTTACAGCCATCAAAGCGAATCAATTCAGCTGAGTAAATACAATGGGGGAACCGAAGTGCGGTTGATTCAATCGCCACGGCCCACATCGCCGGAATAACGATGAGTAAAAAGGGGAAGAAAATGAGGCGGAATACAAGGAAAATAAAATCAGGACTGAAAAGCGAAAAAATAATCGGAGTGCAATGAAAATTAACAACTAGATACAAGAGACCGAATGCAGGAACGCCGCCACTAGTGTGGACCATCCCTGGGCCCTCATTTACGAAGACGGCATACTTCAGCCTAACCAAGCTTCAGATGACTTCTACATACATTTACGCCACGTCATCAACTGTCCGCCTCGCGGTTTTGCCCACCTTGGTGCAGCGACAGCGTATGATGCTCGCCGAGTGTCAGGTGTTAACCAAACGGTCGTTGACTACGATGGTCTTACTCTGACTGGTCCTTAACGCGCACGCACACACATCCATCTTCAATCCTGGTAACTGGTATCACGTCGTATGTCCGATTTACGTACTACTAGGAGCGCGTCGTGACATTTTGTGACAGCGAATAGCATGACTGGGGCACTGACTTTCTGGTCTTATTCTACTGATAAATCGTTTGGTGAAATCATTTATTGATTACCTGGAACCACACCACTTGGTCCAAAGAGGAAGTGTTGGCTGAGTTGAAGGATACACTTGTGCTACCATCTTACAAGGGCAAACGGAGCAGACAATGTGCAATCAGCTATCGTTGCATCAACTTGAGGAGGTATGTTCCAAAAGAGATAATACGAATCCTGCACAACAGCTTAATCACTCAGATTGTTAAACCGCAAGTGCCGAAAGAGAAATGCGGATTATTTCCGGGCCGCAGTACTACAGATATGGTGTTCGCGGCTGGTCATTTGCAGGAGAAATGCCGAGAGTGACACCAGCCGCTGCAATCGTTGTCTGTCGGCTTAACTAAGGCATTTGACACGGTGAACCGCCAGGCACTGTAGCTGGTGTTGGGTAAGTTTGGTTGTCCGGGTAACTTTGTAAGTATAATTAATTGTCCGCACAGTGGTATGCGGGCGAACGTACAGCTGAGTGGACAACACTCTGGTGACTTTGGTGCCTGTGATGTGAGGCAACGTTGTATTAGCCCCTGCCCTATTTAATACCTACACGCAATGATGTCGTGTTCTTTTGAAGCTGCTTGTGATTACGGTATCGGTGTGGAGCATCGTATTGATGGTGGGTTGCAGAATGTCCGTCGTTTTGAACCGAGAACCCGTGTGTGAGACATGCGTCTATGTGTTGCTATTTGCCGACGATTGCGCGGTTTGTATACAGTACAGACGAGTTGTAGTGCGTGACGATTACCTTCGCTTCTATAGCGGTCAATTTCGCGCTCACCAATAACACAAACAGGGCTGTTTGTCTCCTTAGTCTTCACCAGAAATGGAGTCCAGGGACCTGCCGCAAATTCAGATTACTGATGGCCTAGTGGAGACAGCATCGAAATCCTGCTACCTTGGGAGCGTGCTTTCGACCGATCTCCAGATGACCTGCGGGTGAGGCATCAGCGTATCGAAGACGGCTGTTGAATTTAGCACGTTGCAGTATCGTGTATGAATGAATCACCGGCTTACTGCTGGGACGAAGCTGATGGTTAGCCGATCAATAGCGTTGTCTGTTCTTCCATACGGTTGCGAAAAGTGGACGATGCACCTGAAATACGCCTGTTAGTTGGAGCGTCTACGTCGAATTCTGCGCATCAGCTGGAGTGACCAAGTTGTAGACACGAAGGTGCTCCACCGCAGCTGCATGTATGCGGTGGACAACATACTTTGCTGCGGCACCTGATGCATGTCAGCCGCATGGATTCGATGGGATACCCAGTCAGCTGATATATGAACTTAGTGGAAGGAAGCGGAACGTGGGAAAACCGAAGTTACGTTACCAGGACATGATCAAAGTGAGTTTATCACGAACTAATGTTGATTTTAGGTGTTAGGAGTCAGAGGCAGTGGATCGGCGCCAATGGTGTGACCACAAAAAGAATGCAGTTGCGCAGGTGCTGCATCAGGAAAAGAAAGTACGCTGCGGAATTGACAGGTCTTGTTGAACTATAGACCAGTGGTGTTGGTCACATGGTGCTGTATCACATAGTATCGCGGATGCCTCAGCCAAACCGGTCTGGTAAGCCACCAGCGTGGCCACGAGGGATAAACATAGAAAAGGCGGCGTGTCAGCTGATTAGGTACGCATCATCGAAGCAGCTGTCGATAGGTAGGCTGTTTGCGATTACGTTTACTAACCCAGGCCAATAGTACGGCCGATGTGGCACTTGCGCTAAGTCACTGCAGAAGTATACAGTTCACTGCAGCGGAGGACTTCCTTGTCTGTAACTCTGTCACACCAACCGACGCGCAATCTGTCGCACACACTGTCGATGAAACCACTCCAAATATCTAGCGTCCCTCCTGTACAACATCCAGGTCTCGGTGCACTAAAGAACTGACAGCACCATTCAGTTGCTGATTGTTCCACACCCGTTTTTCCAGCAGCCGCCTTCGAGACAAGGATACGCAGCTCGTTCCAAAGGTAGCGAAATTTGGAGGCGGATTCTGAAACGTCGTGACCAATCTAGATTTGCAGCACGCATACGGATTTTATTTCTGGTAAAGACTGGAAAAGAAAAATAGTTTTGTTTGTGTTGATGGTGAGCACGAAATTGACTGCTATAGAAGCGAGGGCTATCGTCATGAGCTGCGGCTCATCCGCCCTATGTACAAAAACGCAGTCGTCGCAAACAGCAACATACAGACGGCTGTCTCACACAAACGGGTTTTCGCTCCGGAACAGTGGACCCACCATCAATGCCTTGCTCCACACGCACACAATACTCACAAGACTATATGCATAAGACACCATTGCATCTAGTATGGTAGGGGCTACGGCAGCTTCGTTTCACACCAGGGACACCAAAGTCGTTTGAGGTTTGTACACTCTGCTGCATCCTCGTCAGCATATGACTGTGTCAACATCAAAATAAAATTACAAAACTACTCGGGAGACCAAACTTACCCAACACAGGCTACAGTGCGTGGCGGATCACTGTGTCAAGTGCCTTAGTTAGGTCGACAAACAGGAAGTACAATGGTTGGTGTCGCTCTCGGCATTTTTCCCGCAAATGGCCAGCCGCGCACCCTATCTCTATAAGTGCTGCGGCTCGAACGGAATACGCAGTGCTCATCCGCCAAGTGCGGTATAACGACGTGAATGACGAGGCGGTTGAGCGGGATTCGTGTAATCACGTCACCCACACAACTCAGCAAGTGATACCACGAAATGCATGGCACATTACTTGCTCCGTTTACACTTGTACTATGGTAGCACAAGGGTATCCTTCGAGTCATCCGGCATTTCTACCTCTAACCACACGCGTTGCACCATGCGATGCAACGCATGTATCAACGCGGGTCCGCCATGTTTTAACACTTCAGGAGGGAACAACTCGGCGCCGGCGCACTTGATGTTTTGCAGCTGAGCAAGTGCCCTCTGCGTCTTATCCAGCGTCTGTGTGTCGGCAAGACACATCATCACCTACTGTTGCAGCCCGTGGAACATAGCCCAGTCAATCGCCGAACGGTTGTGCATGAAATAGCTGAAGTCCTTTCGCCAGATCTGCATTACGTCTGCAGTCTGTGTGCAGCCAGCGCCTGAACTACCATCGTGCAGCGTCCTCAGC